AAAAAGTCAGAAACGAAAATTTGTTTCTGAACTTGATGAGCACATCCCCCCCCCATAGCTTAGTTTGCAATGTACATGGACTATATGGCCTTAGAAGGTCTTGAGTGAGGACCTTTGCTTGATTGCTTCTACTATTTGAAAAATGTACTTATTTTGAACAAAAAAAATACAAGGATAAACCCCATTCTCGAGGGTCCCTTGGAATTGGCTGGACGATTATTTGAGAAGAGATAAATTGTACTGTAGTCACAACCTGACTAGTGAAGGGTGATGTCTGCATCTAGTACATGCAGATGACTTATGCTTAGTATAATTATTTCACAGTATAAATCAGACTCGGGTTTACCTCATTTGGCATCCCTTGCTCAACCAGTGCCCACCGGCGTTGAACACAAAATCCAAAAGCGCCAGAGATATGTTTCTCTGTTTTAATGCGCATACTTAGGAAATGTGCAAAAAATACAATCGTTCCAGAAATTTTTTTGTTTTGAATTTTTTGGTTAAGTAGTGACACTTTTTTGACCATAAATTGTGTAAAATGTACATTTAATTGAAATTTAAATTTATATAATTGGATTCATCTTAAGATATAATTTTGATATATCAACTTTTTATAAAATTAATTTATTTATATTATGCTGAATTTGTAACTAAAGAGTATCAGAATATTTTTTTAGGACTAATGTAATATTTGAAAAAAATATTGTATCATTCGTAAATGACCTGTTTTGTTCCACCTAAACCTTTCTCGAGTAGAAAACTGCTCTTAGGTACCCCATATTTTGAGAAACTAACTGCGAGGTACCTCACATTTTCAAAATATACTCCGAGGTACCTTCTATTTTGAGAAACTAACTATCGGGTACCTCACATTTTTAAAATATACTCTGAGTACCCTCTATTTTGAGAAACTAACTATCGGGTACCTCACATTTTTAAAATATATTCCAGGATACCTCCAAATATACATTAATTTTACGCCATTAATTTTAAGAAATAGGGGTTTGGAATTTTAAAAGTAACCAAGATCTTTTTAATTTGAAGAAAATTGTACTCAATACTTTGGAGGCGTAAAATTAATGTATATTTGGAGGTATCCTGGAATATATTTTAAAAATGTGAGGTACCCGATAGTTAGTTTCTCAAAATAGAGGGTACCTCAGAGTATATTTTAAAAATGTGAGGTACCCGATAGTTAGTTTCTCAAAATAGAAGGTACCTCGGAGTATATTTTGAAAATATGAGATACCCGGCAGTTAGTTTCTCAAAATATGGGGTACCCAAGAGCAGTTTTCTGTTTCTCGAGCGTGAGTGTTTTTAGGCAATAATGAATTGAAGAGTTGCGTATAGTGAATCAATGCATAAAATTAATAAAAACGTGTTAAGCACTACCCTAATTTTGATTTCAATTTTACATTTACGAGGCAAATTTCTACGTAGCATATTTTTAAAATCATTTTATTTAAGAATTGATATATAGAGTAAAGAATAAAATTTTCATATTTAAAAATTATATCAAAAGTTTTACAAAACAAGAGGTGACAAGAATATTTTATTTTATCAAATAATCAATTAAAACACAACTAAACAAAAGTTATCGAGATGAGAGAGAAAATAAAATTATAATCAATTATGGGATGGAGGGGTACATTACTTTGTAAAAAAGGTGATATATAAGAATATGTAATTTTTGTGTTAATTCACTACTTTCTAATTTTGTCTTTACATTGTGTTTCTTTGGTCTCAATTTAAGTTACTTTTATTTGTTAGTTCCAAATTGTGTTGGCATTATTTTTTGACAAACGAATATATTTACCTAGAATTATTTTAGATGGTTTATTTAGACTTAGAGTCCTAGCATGTGAAGGAAGAGAAAGAGGAAAGAACTTGAAGAGAGAATTCTAATCCTACTTTAATTCTAATCTTACATGGTTTACTATTCTTGAGGAGGAAGGCATAGTTGAGACTCCTAAGCACACTCTACCAAGGTTAATATACTCCATATATTATATTCTCTCTCCCTGAGAGTTTGGTGGTGGAAAAATTCGAAACAAGTGAAGCAAATCCGAAAAAAGAAAAACAAAGTGCATAGTTTGATACTACAAATTTTCTGGACAGCCCGCACTGGTTTAATCATCGCCAGAGATCTGACCGTTGGATTTTGCTGAAATTTTCAGAGAGTGTTCCCAACACAGAGTTCTTCAACGTGTCCAATTTTCACGTCAATCGGAGTTACGGATCTTCTGTTATCGAAGTTACAATCTACATACTGTTGCTGTTTTTTTACAGAAAATGCAGCGCTGGTTTTGTTGATGATCCGAGTACCAAATCTTGTCCGATCGTGCTAAAATTTTAGGAGGAGTCTAAGGACTCGTGGAGCTTCAATCTGAACGGTGGAGATGAATTTCAACGGTTCAATCTTGATTTATGAGCTTCGGATCAGCCTGCATATTTTAGTAGATCAAGAAAAATCTTTATTTGAAGGTGTATTGGAATCTACGTCCTTGAAGAAGATCTTTGAGAAGGTGTAACAAGCCATGGAGATAGACGCAAACCGAGTTTGTCTTCAAGTCATTCGTAAGTAGACAAATCAATACATTAGAAGGTTCTGTTGTGATTGATTGTGTAATTCTTACGGTGATTTAGTGGAAGGGCTATTACACGGACGTGGGCCTTGCAGACGTAGGAGAATTTGCTCCGAACTGCGTGAACAATTCTGGTGTCTTGCTTGCTGTTTTTACTTTATATTCTGTGTGCGTGCTTGTGACGGAGAAGTGTTATAGCACACTGTTCGTCATCTGTTACTGGACAGTGCTGCAGCGTCTTCTCTGCAGCATAGTAGATTGATTTGTTTCCATAGCTCTTAATTGATGATTTTCGTTGCGCCCCCACGAACTTACATTATTATTGACACAATCAAATTTCATCCACTTTATTTATTTATTTTTATTATTCATATGACAAAATAATATAGTCATATCATCTTTTAGTTCATAAAATTTTTTAAGTAAATTTTTAAATATGTATACAATTTATAATTTTTGTTCTACTCCAATTCTTAGATAAAATAAATTAAAAATAATTTTAGTCAAATAATATAAACTAAAGTTGATAATAACTTAGAATGAAGATAATAGTAAAATGAGATAAAATATGATGGATGCATAAATAATGAGTAGATATATAATGTGATGGGTAGGTTAATACTAACTAATTATAAGAATAAAAGGTGATTTTATTCATAGTGAAAGTGTTTTTTTGGAACGAGATCTTTGGACCAAAATCTCTATCCTATTCGCCTATGGCATAGTTCTACGTGTCCTTTTTTTTGCTCCAATGCTCCCAATTAAAAAACCCTTATTCAATTATAAACACAAACAAATGTAAAAAATAAATGGCAAATTTCTTAATTAAATTGTTGTAAAAAAATATTGTAAGATTATCTTTTCTCAAATTTATTTCTTATACTTGTATATGTTAATAATAAGGAGTATTTAATCTTTATATCATAAAATGTTGAAAATAAAAAATAAGAGCATAAAATAGCAACACTTTAATTTTATTCGGAGCATAACACTAGAGTAATAATAAACCCCAAAAAAGCAATTTTTGCTATATTTCATCAACATTAAATAAAAAGTTAAAATCTATAAATGTTTTTAAAACTTAAACGTACCATACCCATTTTAACAAACTATTTACATTTAACTAAATTAATCAAAATATTTTTTTAATAAATTCAAAAAAGTGAATGTAAATATTTTTTTTAAACTAAATTTCAAAAAATACGGAGTACAACGTAAATGTGGTGGGTGGTGTGACAAGCGGGACCCACTCTTTCTCTTAAATCTAATTTTGAAATAGGAAAAGGCCAATTTCGAAGAAAAAAAATGCCATGTTGGGTTTGGAGTCTTTGGACATTAAACTATCCGCCGTTTATTTTTTGTTCTTCTGGCAATATATTTGTACCTCATGTTTTATACCCCACTTTGTACCCCATAGTTTTGCACCAACACTTTGTGTTTGTGTAAAACTAATTTTTGTTAATGCACCGACACTTTGTGTCCGTGTAAATTTTTGTTAACGCATCAACACTTGTGTCGGTGTAAACCATCAAAATGTTTGTGTATAACTGCGGTGTACAAATGAGGTATAATTTGTGGTGTAAGTGTAGCATACCCCTTATACTATACATCCCGCTGTATTCTCCATACATCTACAAGAATATTCATTTTTGAATAATTGAATGTACATTTTCAAATAATAGAGTACTTATTCTCGAATTATTAAATACTCATTTTCGAGCATAACTGACTTTTAGAGAAATTAGTATATACTCCCTCCGTCCCAGAATATTTGTCCACTTTAATTTTTACACACCATCCAATACATTGTTTTAATCCATTTTATCTTGTAATTTGTATATTAAAAATTATAAAAATTATATATTAATAATCTATATGTTAAGACAAATCAAACAAGATCACATATGACTATATTTAGGATTACACATTGAGAAAGTTTGATGAGTCAAAGTGCTTAGATGAATAGTTTCAAAAGTAAAAAATGAACGAATATAGCGGGACGGAGGTAGTAAGTACTCAAAATGGGTGTTTATTTACTCGAAAATGAATATTTAGCTACTCGTAAATGAGTACTGACTCCCTATATACCAAAACACCTTACAATTATGTAGAAGTACCTTTTTTGTGAAATTTGCATTAAATAAGACTAAAACATAAGTTATTTTTTAGACTTAAATTTTTTATTCCTTAAACAGTACTTTATAATGTCTAATGTGAGGAATAATGTCGAGTGATGCTTGACATTTATTTGAATAAAACTAATGGATAATGATCAATAATCACATTTAATTTTATATTGAAAAAGTCATTATATTTTAATACATATGAATATTTTTTTTACTCCGTATTAAAGGAGTGATTTGGATGGGAGAAATTAAAGGAGATTATTGACGATTGGTTTGTTTTTTTCTCGAGCTGTACATTTGGTGCATAAAAGCCCACGACTTTGAGGACCCTTTTCTCCCTCCTTCCCTCTCAATCAATCTTTCCATGGATTCCTTCCTGCAATTGCTCATCACCCCCCTCTCTTCTTGGTATTTGCACTCCCCAGGTCCCTCTCATGATCACAAATTCAATTGCAATTTGCAGGGCTTTGATGGGATTTCCCGTTTGTGGGTCTCCGTACGTTTCTTTTATTTCATGATTCTTATTATACTTTTTTGTCTCTTCTGTCAGATAAAAATTTCTCACTGTGATTAGAAGAATACTGGAGCTGCTTCAGATATGGATGCTTCCTTCTTAGAGGGTAATTGATTCTTTCTCTGGGTCACCTTCTTCTTTGTCTTTCCTGTTTACATGCTTGTGATTTCCTGAATGGAACTGATTATAAATTGGTTGATCTGTGAAAATCTGGAATCTTTCAAGGATTAGTGGTTCACAAAAACCTTCAAAATCCCCAGATTCGTAGTTTGTCAATCACTAGCTCAGCAATCTTTCATGGATTAATGTTTAGTTGTTCATATATTTCTTCCTTTTGTTATGTTGATTACTGGGTTTAGTAGTGGATACCTAACCTTACTGGGAATTCATTAGTGTAGATTAAATAAGCGTTAATGAGTGCCATATTAAATTTTCAACTTTAATGTCAACTACAATTTGTTGAACTCATTGTTTCCTCTTTTGTTAAAATATTTCCATTTCTGTCCAAGAAAATAAATGAACACTGATTACGTGTATCTGACCGTGATTGTGTGTTTGACTGTGTGGAGGATGGATTTGGGTTCTCTTCTCTTTTAAATTTTTAGCCCAGAAAAGAAAAAGGGTAACATCATCCTGCAGCTCTACTAGTAGTATGGAAAGATTTTAATATGATCTCATGTGGTTAGACATTATTTCTTTTATTTCCTCTCACAAATTTAGTGGTGAACCATTCATTGACAGTGGAGAGAATCCAAATCCATGGAGAATATGAGTAAGAATACACGAGTAATTTTAAGGAGCCCTCTCTAACTAAACCACCTTAGGAAGTCGTATAACTCAGTTGGCATCATCATCAACATTCATTTGGGGCTGTGTTGTGGCTGTTTGGCCTCTCTGTACTATTTGAAGTTCAATGAAATTACAGTGATTTGGACTTCAAATTTACAAAGTTTACCGCCATTTTCTTTGGAGTAAGAGTATGCACGAACAAGGGCTCGGGGATAGATTATTAGACTCACGGAATGTCGGGATTGCCCTTTTAAGAAGATAAAGGAGGGTAGCTCTCACACCATTGCTTAAAGGGGCATTTGTTTACTTCCCTTTCATAAAGTTTTGATTAGTGTAGAGTTACCCACCACTAGTCCTTTTTCATGGATTCCTTCCAATCATAGTGTCTCCTTAGATAGAGACATATCAAACTTGCAGAGTTGCATGGTATACTTATCAGGGGTAAAAAGGGAAAGAATAATAAGTTGAAAAATTTGTGCTGCTCCTTTTCTTAACATATGTCAATCCAAAATGCAAGTGTTTTTCACTCCTTTTAAGGCCAAGACTTCTACTCTGGCTCTTATATGTTGATGAGCTTATCAAAATGTACTCCCTCGGTCCCACTATTTTGTCTTTTTTTTACCTTTTTTTGTCTGTCCCACTATTTTTTAAATCTATTTTTAGCATTCATTCATACTTTGTCTTACTTTTTAGCATCAATGTCAACCACACAATGCACCTTTTCTTAATCTCCGCGGCACTCTCTCGTGTCCTAAAAATAGTGGGACGAGGGAGTAGTTATTTGCTGAAATGAGTATTCTCACATGAAACCTTGGCTGCAGATATCTTGGATCCAGAAAAGTGCAGTAAGCTGGGAATGGAGGAGAAGCGCGAACTTGTTTACAAAGTGTCAAAAATGTCAAACTTTTCTCCTGAAATGCTGCAATCTTGGACTCGTCAAGATATTCTGGAAATACTCTGCGCAGAGATGGGCAAGGAAAGGAAATACACAGGCCTCACAAAGTTGAAAATCATAGAGAACCTTCTGAGGATTGTCGCGGAGAAGAAGAAATCGCCCAAGAATGGAGTTTCCAGTAATAGCTCCCCAGATAAGGACCAAAGGAGTTTCAAGCGGCAGAGGAAATCCGATCACCCAAATCACTTCCTAGATGCAACAACTGATGATGCACCAGTTACCAATGCCACTAACAGTAATATCACATACTGCAAGAATCTGGCTTGCCGAGCAAGATTAACCAGCGAATATTCTTTTTGCAAGAGATGTTCGTGTTGCATTTGTCGCGCATATGATGATAACAAGGACCCAAGCTTGTGGTTGGTTTGCAATTCGGAGCCGCCTTTCCAAGGTGAGTCTTGTGGGATGTCATGCCACCTTGAGTGTGCCATTAGACATGAAAGATCTGGGATTGTGGTGAAGGATAGAACAGATGGAGGAATCAATGGAAGCTTTTATTGCGTCGCTTGTGGAAAAACTAACGATATTCTCAGGTATTTTCTTCTTAATCACTTCAAACCCAAGATGGTTTTAGGTTATCATCATCATCATTTCTTTTAATTAAGGAGTTTCTTTGAAAATTGCTTTATGACACCAAAGATTGAATCTTTTTCCTCTAAAACAGATTCTTTACTCTTAAGGGTGGACATAAGGTTTGCATAGATCTTACCCACTGACCCTACTTCTATGTGGGACACATTGGGCATTTGGGCATGTTCGGTTTGGTTTATCAATCTATTGCTCAAAAAAGTTTTGAATTTTATTAATTATTGTTTGTTACTTTTGAATGAAAATTAGTTCATGGATCACACGTTAAACTTAACACTCCGTAATTAATTATAAAAATAATCGAAAATAAAAAGAAAAAATTTCACGATTTTAAAACCTTAGATAGTTATGGTTCTTTTGAAATTGGTTTTGGATGTCATGTTATGACAGCATGGTCTTACGGTGTTCCTTTGGGCTCTGTAGTAGGTCCCAACAGAGTACTATAGGACCCACAAATGACCCATAATTCTTGTGATATGAATGCAAAATGCATAAACCTCCATTGAACTTAATGGACCTATTTTCTTGCAGTTCTTTGAGGAAGCAACTAGTGACAGCAAGAGATACAAGACGAGTGGACATATTATGCTACAGAATTTCTCTGAGCCAAAAGATTCTGGGGGAGGCCAAAAGCTGTAATGGGCTGTGCAGTATAATGGACGAAGCCGTGGGGAAGCTGGAGGAAGAAGTGGGCCCGTTAACCGGTTCGCCAGTGAAGACTGCGAGGGGCATCGTGAACCGGCTTTCTTCCGGTCCGGAGGTTCAGAGTCTCTGCGGTTTGGCTGTTGATTATTTGGACTCCATGCTTTCGGAGAGAGTACCTAAAGTGGAAGCTGATCCCATTTTGCAAGGTATTCTCATTTTTTTTGTTTTTACTTTTTACTTTTTTGTGGGTCCTACTATTCTTGTCACATCATAACTTTTCTTCTCGTTGTTCTTTACGATATTTGAGTGAAATTATTTTTAATTCAATTCATATAAAAATCGGTGTAAATTAAAAAAAGTTGGAGTATATACTACCTTCGTCCATGTGTATTTGTCCAGTTTTGATTTTTTTCAGTCAACTATTTTCAACATTTGACCTTTAATTAAATAAAATATATATTACTCCAATAAAACTATTTTGAAAACATTTCATATAATTAATCTAATAAAACTATTTTTGTATCAATATCTAATATCATTTTTATTTAATTTGAGATCAAAATTTACCAATTTTAATCGAAAAAAGTCAAAGGTGAACAAATATTCAGGAATAGAGGAAGTACGTAGTATTTAAAAAGTACGGAGTACATCAAAATATCTATAGAATTAGAAATGATTTAACATTCTTCATATTAATACAAAAATAATTTAATTAAATTATTCCTGTAGAATATATATATATATATAGATTTTGGTTCTGGTGAGAATGCAATCTTAGGAGAGAAATGAGAATAAATCTGGTGCTTTAGATTGTGAGATCTAAGGGTCAAGATTTCATCAAAATTAGATGCACCAAAATGGTGCGAAAATGCATCACGTCGAAATGCACCATAAACCTTCGAAAATGCACTATCTCAAAATCTGAGCGCAGGATGCAATCTGAGCCGCACGATGCATTATATCCGACGGTTAGATTTTATTCTCATTTCTCTCCACAAGGTGCATTCTCACGGGAACCGGCTCCTATATATATATATATATATATATATATATGTATCGTGCGGCTCAGATTGCATCCTGCGCTCAGATTTTGAGATAGTGCATTTTCAAAGGATTATGATGCATTTCGACGTGATGCATTTTCAAATCATTTTGTTGCACTTAATTTTGATCCAATCCTGACCCTTAGATCGCACAATCTAAAGCACCAGATTCATTCTCAATTCTCTCCTAAGATTGCATTCTCACCAGAACCAAAATCTATATATATATATATATATAATTATTTTATTTCAATAATATACCGAGTGCACTGTAATAATGATTTACTCCGTATTTCCTAACCAGGCTATCCATTGGAGACAAATAAAAAGGTTCTTGCAAATTCTATTCTGGCCGCTCCAGAACTGATACGATTCGAAGACGTGTCCGCCTCGTCCGCCACCGTCGTCCTCGCCTCCGAGGAGTCGACGTCCGGCAACGTCGTCGGCTACACTCTGTGGCACCGGAAGCGCAGCGACCCGGAATATCCGGCGGACCCCACCTGCACCCTGTTCGCCCCGAACACCACATTTGTAATTCCGGGGCTGAACCCAAACACGGAATACCTCCTGAAAGTCGTCTCCCTCGACAGCAAGAAAGAGCTCGGAGTTCGCGAGATCGGGTTCCAGACCGGCGAAGAAGAAGAAGAAGAAGATGGAAATGGGCTTTCAAACCGGAACGAAGAAGTGGAGGAGGAAGAAGCCCGTATAAGTCCAGGCCCAGAAATAAGCCCGTCTTGTTACACCACCGATAACGGATCGAACTCGCAGCCCGAAACCAACTCGGGCCTGCCCATCACGCCTTACAAGACCGAGAGCAGATTCCAGCCCAACAATGAGGAAGAGGAAGAGGTAGAAGAGGAGGCGGGCCCACCCGGGACCACCTCGAAGAAGAGAATCGTCGGCGGCGGCGATAAAGAAGAAGATGACGGCGGCGATGATGTCATGGGCGGAGGGGAGAAGGGTTTCGAGTACTACGTGAAAGTGATCAGATGGCTGGAGTGCAGCGGGCGAATCGGGACGGGATTCAGGGAGAAGTTCTTGACGTGGTACAGCCTGAGGGCGTCGCCGCAGGAGGTTCGGGTCGTGAAGGCGTTTGTGGATACTTTGATCGATGACCCGGACTCGCTGGCGGGTCAGCTGGTCCATAGCTTTTCGGATCTCATTTCCAACACCCCTTCTTCTTCTTCTGTGGTGCCTTCTGGGTTTTGTCTTAGGCTTTGGCATTGACCCGGCGGTGGGTGGCCGACTCATCGCCGCCGTCCGATGTGGCGGCAGCAGGCCGGTGTGTCATTATTATTGTTATTATTATGATTGTGTATTAGAAGTTACTTGGAAATTAAACGTGATGATGGAATGATGTTGGTATGATTATTAATTGCATGAAAAATGTTGCTTTAACCTTAAAGATGACACTAAAGTTGGCATTGCCAAAGTTGAAAGCAAATCAAATATAAGGAAGGATACTATTCAAGTTTTTGAATCAATTTGGAAATTGATAATGATGAGAAATTCTTACGTAGTCTTAAGATTCATATTCTTTTTTATGAATATTAATGCAATGATATTATAAAAAATTTGGCCTTTTGCAAAAAAGAAAAAAGTTCACTTCTAAGCCCATGAAAATTAGGATTATAGGAAAACAAGTCTAATATGATTAGTATACATTTTTCACCCTAGGCATAGAGGAGCATGAGATCAAGGGGTAAAAGAACCCCATACTCGGTATTACCTTTGTCTCAAAATATTTGTTCAATTAGATAAAACTTACATTACATATTAATGTACAAAAGATTCCATTAGATTTATTTTACAAAGAACTTTCAAAACAAAGACAAAATATAAGATGAATCGGAAAATTTTTTTAGAACATAATCAATTTCATTTGTTTGTTGTTTTTCCACTACAGTATTTACATATATCTATAGGTATTTGCTTTTTTCTTCGAATTCTAGAATACTTGGTAAAATATTTGGTGAGTCATCAACAAATGATTTATTGTGAGAAAGAAAGAATCGTTTGATTTACATCGTCAATTCTTTTTTTATACAAATTTATATCGCACAATTTCACCACTTAAAGTATGTGTAAAACGCAAACGGAAAGATTAAATAGTCATAGGGTTTATTATGTGAAGAATATTGTAAAGGTGATAAAATAAAACTACATAGATTCAACAAAAAACGAGAATAAATGAGGAACCATTTTTAGGAATAGATGAGTGAAATCAAAGGTTTTGATGTATTCTTTGGGTATATTTTAGTGGATAAGATGAAGTAACAAAAAGGTACGTACAAGAAACTTAAAATTTAGGACATTTAAATACTTCCACCATTCCAAAAATAAAAAGTTTCTTATTTTCTTTTTGAAAATCTTTGAGTGACTCACAAACTAAGTTAAACTAACCGTCTTTTTTTAAGACGGAGAGACTACATAAGAACCCATATTCGGAATGGAAGGAGTAATTCATAATGTAGCTTATTTAAAACCAACATATACAACAAACTTCTCCTCTGACTTGAGTGGTACCAAGCCCACACTCCCTAGGATTCATAAATAAAGTTAACCCAGGTTCGAGCCCTAATGGAGTCGAAAACATTAGTTCTTTGTGCGTCATTAAATTGTAAATAGTATAAATATTTATTACCTTGTAATAGAGTCAATAACATTCAAAATAATAAAAAAATCAACATATACAACAAACCAAGTAAAATACTACCTCCGTCCCACTCTTTTTGTCCAGTTTTGACTTTTGGAACTGTTCATCTAAGCACTTTGACTCATCAAATTCTCTTAATGTGTAAGTCTAAAAATAGTCATGTGTGATCTTGTTTGATTTGTCTTAACATATAGATTATTAATATATAATTTTTATAATTTTTTAATATACAAATTACAAAATAAAATGGATTAAAGAAGTGCATTGGATGGTGTGCAAAAATGAAAGTGGACAAAAAGAGTGGGACGGAGGGAGTAATACATATTGAGATCGAAAAGACGCATGTTCATAAAATTTACCTCTATTTGAAAATTTTGAAAAGTAAAGAGACGATTTTCAAGAGACCCACAAAACAAAACAAAACAGCTTATTTAACATTATAAACAAAAAAATTAAATAAAATATAAAAACTGCTTTTGTTGGTCAATTCAAGAAATGCTCCCCTAGTCTTCTCCTCCTCTACTCGTATTCAAGAGTCCACTTCATCCAAATTACACATCTTGAAAAACTTACATCAATTTTATACAACAAACACAGCTTATCTTGTCATATCCAAATCATAATTAGAAACAAAGTTAACAGTGAAATTAGCAGATACATAACAGTTACATGTTTTTTTCTTTCCATCTGAGTTGTTGGACCTCTTTGAAGCATTAACAAGTTCTTACACTTCACTCCCCTTCTGTTGGAGCTAGAGGAGGACAGTCACTAACACTGCAAGATTCAATAATGAAAAGTAGCACCAATATAATTACGTGATTATTAATTGTCATAATCACCCCTACCCGATTTATCTCAAGAAAAATGGAACTGGGTTTCTTTACACCCATCAGGGGTGATGGGTGTCAATGTTACATAATATGACACTCTTGTCATTTGACGACCCCCTATGTACAATGTTTCGTTTGACTCTTAAAGTGTTCCTACTTCCTATTAACACAAAGCTCCAACCCCCTGTTTTGCTGTTACGCTATAGTAATAATGTAGCATAAAGGTGAAGTGGCTGACTGGGGGGAACAACCTCAGGGTCCAGCAAACCACCACGGGACCCTCAAATAATCAGGTGTCATATTATGACACCCATGAATGGTGTCTAAAGAATCTAGTTCATATAATTGTTTAAAAGCACAAGGGCACCAATTTATACCAAAATGAATGTTCGTAAGAGTGAATGGCGGGACAGATTTTTAAAAATGTTGCCGTAATAAGCATTAGAGTCATGCAACATTTATCCCAATATTTCTCCACACCCCATGTTTTGTTCACGCTACACATAAACATGAGATTCGGCTCATGTGATCATGTGAATGAAACACGGGGTTGGGGTGCAAATGGCTCTTCACTAAGCCTTATCCTTTTCAGTGGAAAATTATGATGGGATGGTAATGAGTTGGGAGAGTTGGTATACTCGTGTTCAAAATTGACATTGTAATTCGGTTAGGTTCTTTTGACATTGATAACCTATGCCATATTATTACATTGGTTCAATTTGGGCACCAACGGTTCCCTATTTGTAAAATTGATGGTTCCTATCCCCAACCCCCCCCCCCCCCNCAAGTTCCTAACGCACTGCCTCCAAGTTTACCCCTCAAATTTTGTTGACTTTGGTGTCAAATTTTTGCCCCAAAGTCAACAAAATTAGGGGGATGTGATTGGAGGGGTGCATTAGGGCTGGGCGAGGGGGGTTTACCACGGTAAACCCCACTAGCCAGGCCGCTTCCTAACGCACCCCCTCCAAAATTACCCCACAAACTTTGTTGACTTAGTGTCAATTTTTTGCGCAACAAAATTAGGGGGATGTAATTGGAGGGGGTGCATGGGTGCATTAGGGCCGCGCAAGGAGGGTTTACCAGGGGTAGGAACCATTAATTTTACGAACGGGACACCATAGGTGCTTGATGTCATTTTAGAACATTTAGTTCTAATGACAATAGAACCTTCGTGATTGGAAGTTTAACCAACAAAAAACAGGGAAAAAACAAACCTTGTTTGGGAAAAGTGTTTTGAAATTCCTATAGTTGACATGGAAACAAAAGGTTCCAAAGTAAATATGACCATACCTCAGATGGGGAAGAATTAAACAATTCCCTCTCACAATTGAAATGGTCGCTTAACCTCCTGCACGGTTTCAACAGAATCAGAATTACTTATTCTCATCACTTCTATCATGTCAATTTATTTTTGTACTAAGTTTTCAATAGTTTGTCATAGGGAGTGCAATAGGATTCTCAGCATAGAATACCTTGGCCGCTCAGAATTTGCAAGATGCTTAGACATTACCGACGCCTGCAAGGGGTAGAATTATTTTATCAATCTCCTAGCAGGAAAAAGATTGTTTGTGAATGCACTGAAAAAATGATCCTCTAACAAAGTCAAAAACTGATGCGACCTAAAAAGATGCACAATCATAGTATCTGTTAATGGTGCCATAAACATATTGTTAATGAATTTTCCCTCTTTATTTGTCTTTACGGAAATACTTTGGTTCTGCTATATTCAACTTATATTCAACTCCACACGTTTCAATTAAAACTACAACTATCTTTTAGTTTAGTGGTGTTCACTTCGACTCAGTTACGAAAATTTCATTTTAAAAGTTGTGCTCTCCTTTTCTATTAAATTTATTTACTTTTACAAATGATGAACGTATAAATATTTATTCCAAAGCAGTGTTAAATATACTCCGTATAAACATAAACTAACAATAATTGAATAAGGCATAATAGAAAATAGAAATAGCAATTACTCCCTCCGTCCATGTAAGATGTTCTCAATTTGATTTTTCACGGTTTTTTAGGAGAGTTGAAAAAAGGTGAAAGTTTACCAAAATACCCTTAATGAAAATGGGTGGGTGTATTAAATAAAGTGGAAAAGGTGTAATAAATAAAGTAAGTGGGGGTAGTTGTGGTATTTTAATTATTAAAAAAGGTAATGAGAAGATCTATGTGGGACAAATAAAAAGGGCAAATGGTAATGTTGTAGGAAGAAAAGAATGAGTGAGGGGCAAATGATCCTCACAATTCTTCCACATCATTCTTTTCTTCCTACACTCACAAAACTCTTCGCCCCTCACTCTCCACAGACTTGTTCCAATCAAACCATTATTTTCTTCCTCCCATCAGTTTTCCATTTTCTAATGTTAAAAGTTACATGATAATGCTGTATAATAAAGGAAAAATTTACATGAATAGGCTAAATAAGAAGGAAAGGATTTATGAGTGTTCAAAATAGAACTGAAGGTATGCATATGTTGAAAATTATTTTCCGCTAAATTTAAGTGGAAACTTGTGTTACTTAATCTTGTGCAGAATGATATCTGCCATATTTTCATTTGGGAACATGATGCCATATTTTTGAAAACTGAAACTTTGAAGCTTGAAAAGAATTTCGTTTTTACGAAAAGAAAACAAAATCTCATTGACAGAAAATGAAGGGTTGAAAGGCGATCCAGAGCTCTTGGTTTTGCGCTGATGCCTTAAAAGGAAATCCAAGATTAGTCGTGCTCTTTTCACTGCTCTTGGCCATACAGACCCATCACGTCTTCACCGAGAATGCCTTACAAAGATATCCAGAAGTCTTCATTGGAGATGAAACAAAAAAATCCAGAAGGGCCTCGCGAGGGTATAGCTCTTGAAGGGGACCTCGGATATTTAACCGGAGATGAAATACAAAAGAGGAAAGGGGTAATGAAGAGAGATGGGAGAATTGAGATGGGATGTCAAGACTTGAGCATATAATCGTATAATAGGGGTATAATAAACTTTCTACCCATTTAGTTTTGCCGGAAAAGGAAAGCAGAAAAATATTCTGGGATGACCCAAAAAGAAAAAGTGGAGTACTATGTAAAGAATACCACGGGAGATATCAAATGTATGTACCTGTTCTTGGATAATGCTCCTGGCCTCAACAAGCTGTGCTTCCAGCTCAAGTTCTCGTTCTGACACTTCTGTAATAGCTTCTGCTCCCTTCTGAGCATCTTGGAGTTGAAGCATGCGCTCCTTCAATTTTTCAAAAAAATATAGAGAAGTGTGTTGACTAGTTGATAAATATAACACCTCAGGATAGCTCATACGTAAATTCTAAAACATTGAATATCACTACCTTGATTGATGCCATCTTTGTACGGAGATTTTCTGCAATTTGATTTCTAGCCATGTGCAACGGCAGATCAAATACATCCTAAAATTACAAATCACAGATGTTTCATGGAATGCATGATATTTATCTACTCCTACTATGAATATTTATACATACTGTTCTACCACCCAATGGAGATTGAGAGACATCTGATCCTGGCTTCTCATTGACTGTAGATTGTTTAGAAGAATCATTTGGAGCATTCAGGAACACACGCATGTCTGCCTGTAGCCAAAGAAAGATTGGTTTGGATGGAAAGATTATGGAGGGGAAGCCTTTGGAAAGCATAGTGTTTCCCTGGATATATATTTTGAGTTTTATGAAAATTGAAAAGTTAACATAATATGTTATTGCATAGTAATTCCATTGTCTTTTATTAAATTTTAGAAAAATGATATTTATCAATGCCTTCCAAACGCATTCACAAAGGCAATGATAGACTCAGAAGTTCCTCGAGTCCAATTCTAAGTATGGCAAAGTACTTAGCCCATTGACTCATTGACTAAAGGTCTACTTTTGACATTAGGGTAAGTTGATGAATGAAGATTAAGTCGACTAATTCCACATAACCTCATACCACCCTACAAACTCCAAAGACTTAGATGCACCTAATCTCTTAAATTGCAAAATTCTTGATTAGAGAAAAAAACATTCACACTTTTTGGATAACTCATAAGTGAAACCTTACCAAAGCCATATTGCAAAACTTATTTCCAGCTTTCTAGTGCTTTCATTAGGACACAACCAATTTGTAGAGAACTAGAGATTGTAAAAGTTTACAGTTTTGGATCAACAAAATATTCAAGACATTTGACTTGCGATATCATCATCAGACAGAAGCAATGGGTGAACAAATAAATGGATAAGAGCCAAGGATATCATTTACCTGCATTGATCGTAGCAATGCCCTCAGATCAGCATTTTCAGATGCTAATTCTTGATTTTTCACTTCATAAGCATCCACCTGTAAAATAGGATACAGTTTAAAGGGCTGCTAAAAATTGATATTCTCAATCTTGAGCAACAGAACTAGTTACAACTTTAAGAATGAATTAAAATTGCACAAATATTATAAGACAAAAAAGGTAAAGAATGAAAAAAGTACCGGACTAACAAGGAAGATTCAAGTCCAGGTCATTTTAGAGAAACTTAAAACCATACTCCGTATTTCAGTAGCGCAAGTGAATGAAATGCCCTGAAATATTGTATTTCATACTTCCTCCATACGAAAACAGTTTTCTATATTTCTTTTTAGTAAATCCCAAAATTCCTTTTTACTAAAATTCAGAAATGTCAAAAACTATAAAAGCTGTAATGGTAAAAAGAGCAGTTTCTTTTAGCATCCTTAAGATCTACATGAACAGTAAATGGGACAACCGCTCACAGATTGATGGAGTTTAGACTATATGGGATAGATCGTACAATAAAAGCAGCATTTTATCCCAGTAAATATGGGGAACTAGTTTAAGAAGTGGATACTGCCAGAGTATAAGGGGAAAATCCCTAAATGATGCATCAGAGCAAGAAAATGTTATCTTGCATCTCATTATCAATACTATAAGTTAAATGCTCCTCGGTGTGGTATTAAATTACAAACAATGACAAGTATCAAACAAATTTATAACAAGTTAACGCTATCACTTACAATCTTCTTATAAAAGTCATTATCAGCTTTCTTTGTACTCCATGTCCCCCGCTGCCGTCCTTCTTTCTGTTGAGCATATATTAAAATCTCCAGTCAATTACTGGACTAAGTGGACTGAAATTATTGTGAGTTGTCAATAAATTTTCTATGAATTAATGATGGTGAGTTGGTGGCACTAGAACCTGAAGTAAGTTCAATATTTCCATGCCTGATCTGGATTCCTTCTTTTTCTCCACCGCTGCTTGATTTAACCTCTCCTGCAAACAGAGCAATGATACTTTTTCATTAATTAAACTACTTTCTCATATAAAACTTGATTATTTTGTTTCAAACACTAGATCTGCATACATAGTATAAACAAACAAATTAGAAATCAAGATATCTTACCTGCAACTTCATGTACTCCTTTTCTTTTTTCTTCAACTCATGTACCTGCTGAATTTTTACTTGCTAACAAAAGAAGTAACAAAATTTGTCAAAATTTAACTGGTATGTATTGGCACGAAATCCAAATTGCAATGAAATAGAAAATGAACTGTTCAAACCTGATTGCCAAGAACCATTTTTTGAAATTCATCTCTTTCCTTCTGCAGTTTCTCGATATGAGCCTTTAATGCTGCAACAGCTTTAGCATTCTGCAGATAATGTTCTATGCAGTCATCACATCAATAAAATTGGTATAGAAATACAAGCAAGTACTATGTGAAAAGAAGCTGTATCCTTACCTCTCTAGTAAGAGTTGCTATCTCCCTGTCTTTGCCCTGTAACTCTAAGTCCAGCCTTTCCCCTTTGGACTCTAGTCTTGATATGTCTGACAGTAGTCTGCATGGAAAAAAAGAAAAGTACTAACATTGAAATTCAAACACATTAATGCAAAAGCTATAACACCAGTACAGCTTTCAACTAGTTTCCCAGTTTAAACACACAGCCATTGTGGAATAAACTCACAGCACTAAGAAATGTTTTCTTTGGTATGCAGCAGGCAAACACATAACTTTCTAATAAATAAATGTGACAAATATTTAGAGATATATACAAGTGCATAAATGTGTGTTCCAGCCTTCCAGGATGAATGAAAAATTAACCATTATGTTAATTACAAGCAAAGGAAAGAAAGCATGAACCACGTGTAAAGGATTTGGTAAAGGATTTGATATCCAAAGTAAATTCTAACCACTTATGAGCAACTAGTACGCTACAAGGAGATAATAACTGCCATCGAACCAAATTTAATATCAAAGAATAACATATATAGTTAGATATTACCTCTGTCGCTGCTCATTTGCAGACTCCCTAAATGCTATATCCCTCTGTCTTTGCTGCAACAAAGCATATACACAGTTGCATGTTCGTGCGATTGAAACCTGTAAGTTTTGAACTCTTAGTTTTCAAGTAAATGAATATAAAGATAACAACAATGATTCAAGAGAACGGAAACTTGACCAAGAAATCACAAAAAGTAATTTCTAAACTCTTTTGGTGGGTTCCACTTGACAAACCATTCAAATTCAAGGTTTCAAGCCATTATATAGAGTAATATTTGCATTACTTGACGTCTTCTCTAGCATGATCATAGCTCACACCTTTGAAAATCTCCAAATAGAATTAGGGCTTTGAAAAAATAGCAGTATAAGTACCTCCACTAACATTCCCAAATACCAACTCTGGTTTTGGCCCTTCGTGCTGATTTTGGATAGCCATCACTGGTACCAGAGGTTGCACGGCCTCCAAGTTCATATTTTTTTATTTTCTAAATGTGTTGGTACGCTTTTAATTTTTTTACACTTGTTTTGTGTTTTCAACATCTTTTGAAATTCAATAACACCTAACATAAAAGTGCAATGCACTAGCACTCAACCTCTTCTCTCTTCTATAAAATTTTCACTAAGATATGGAAGCATGTGCAATGTACTTTCATGTCATTGCTATATATGGGCTATACTACAACACTAATGGAAGGGAGTGATCTGCTATCTGGCCATCTGAATAGATGTGTAAGAGATAAGGTAATGGATAAGTGATAGATTGATGGTAGACAATCTGGGTACAATAATCAACAACCCAACAACCGCTGATCTCCTGAATGTACAGACGAATTCCTTGAGCACACATACACACAGCTAGGAATGATATTAGGGCGAGGCAACAATGGATGCCGGGAAATACATGCCTAAACCAACTAAAAAATTCATATCCATCAACCGACCACCAACCCATTACCGTGGCGGGTATAAATTCTAAAATCAGCCATTGCCCCACTAGGTACAAAATAAAAAGCATGTCCACCCCATCACCCATTCGGTGTCCGTTATCTATTTTTCCTGACCCATTACCCGTAATTTTGTTCTTTATAGAATAAGAAATATGAAGTACTATATCCATAGAAGGGTTTTGGTGGAGGGAGACAGATGGGGAGGGGGGGGGGGGGGGGNTTACACATAACCGCTCCACCAGGAAGCAAAAAATTAACCCAGAATCTGTTCAATACCCACTTTACACACAACATGCATAAAACGTAGCCTAATAGATGCACACATATTGCAAAGCAAAAACAATAGCTTACTGGATCATTGGCAAAGAGATCAAGCGATGCAGGGAATCCAAAGGTAACGAGCGTTTGATTGAGGTACTTTGCACAGTGCTCCAGGTTATTGGTATCAGCAAAGCTGTACTCGTTGCTGAAATAACAAATTAGAATGTCCAGTGAGCTAAGCAATCAAATCTCTACTCATCACACTGTTCCGGACCACTCGGAAGCTTCACAAAACACTACACAGAACAATGAAAAGGCCGCGCGTGAACTCTACCTGATTGCTCCACCCAGATTGCTCGGCTGCAGGGACGAGCGCTGCAACAAGGAAAAATCGAATCAATATGGGGGAAATTCTCGGCATTCACCATTACAATGTTATCAGAGAAGAGGGGAGCGAGTGTACTCGGAGATCTAGATCGCTTTCCGTGGACGGCATTGTTACAATCTCAGCGGATCTTTGGATGTGCGAGTGAGAAGGAAATAAATCCGGCGACTGCAAACCGGCGATCTGGGTTTTGAAATTGAACGGCGGCGAGCGGGGAACGTCGTTGAAACGAATACCCACTATTACTTCTCGTCTTCAACAGTTCCGTACAGAGGGTCAATCCTCAACGATGGGGATTTCAGATTTACAGCACCATGGATTACACTCCGTACTCCTTATATATGAAGTACCGACTATATATTTGAAATTCTAAAATTAGATGTTAGAAACTACAGTAGTACGGAGTATAAATTGCAACTTTAACATCATTAAAAAAATACGAGTATTAGAAAAATTCAAGTATTGAAAAATTAATCAATTAAATATTTACTTGAGTAACTATGTAAGAAAATTAATATCATATAAAAAATTATCTTTATCTATGTTTAAAATGATATGTTTACGTTATATATATATATTTATAATCTTATTATATTATTCGGAGTATTCAGCGTATATATGAAAAACTTTAATGTAATTCTTAGGTCCATGTCAATTCATTTTATAAACTTTAACACATAAATATCATTTAAAAAATTGGTTTTTTTGCAAAAAGGAAAAATATCTATTTGTAAGTGCATAAAAAATGTAAAAAGGTCTACATTATTTCATAAGTGAACTTTATATAAAATTATAAAAGCACAACTCTATATGCAAACTTTTGGTTTTAAAACTTTTTTTCCAATTGCAATTCAATGGATAAACTTTAATCATTTACTAATACTTACCTATTTTCGTTAATTATTATTTAATAAAATAATATAATCATGTCACTTATTTGTTACTTTTAAATAAGTGATACTCTGTACAGTTAGCTTGCATGTGTGGTGCATTAAGAGTAGGTATAAGTGTGACAAAAAAATCCTAGCCACACTTATAAGTGTGACTAACGTGTTTCATTGGTTGCACTGAATCTAAAGTGTGGCAAATAATTCTTCACATTTGCAGCTGCACTTAGCACATATGTGGTAAACAATTTTTTCACATTTATAAGTGCGGCAAACGACGATTTTCAGTGAGGTTAAACACTAACTTTCTTGTAGTGCGTGATAGCTTGTTATCAAAAGTCTTTTCAAGAAGAGAAAGTCATACAACGCGTCTCCGATGTTGTAGTATAGTGATGGCACAAGATGATATAAGAGATAGATCATATGGTGTAGCCTATACCACCAACATGAGCTTCAAACATAAAAAAGTTTCTTTGAATTGTGACATTTCAATTCTTTGTGCTATTTCAGGTGTTAAATTATACGAGTATTATACTCCAGTAAACATAATCATATAAAAATTATAAAATTATACATCAAGTCTCCAAAAGTTACTAAATGAAAACAAATTCATCAACATATGATATGATCAACTATATATATCTCTCTAATTCTATAATAATGAGACAAATAGTAATAAAAAATGAACTCAATAAATGAACACCCTTTTAAAATTTTAAAAATCTTGCTACCAAAATATTTATTGTGGGCATCATGTTTTTTTGGGATAACTCATTCATTATTCGGCCTTTGTAAACAAAAATGATAGGTGAAAGTAGTAAGATTTCGCCCACTTGTACCTTTTGAATGAGTTATTACTAGCTAATACTCGACTCAATAAGATGTTGCATTGGTTATTACTACAACATAATGTGTTCTTTTATATATGACCTTTGTTTTGTTTCATTTTGAACTTTTATATAATTTTCGTTTTTATATTGCTTCTCAAAAATTTCGTTATAAATTTATTTGAGGCCTTTATCCTTATCAATGAATAATTCTTTGTACTAACTATTTTTAAAATTATATTTTCTCTAATGCAGTTAAGATCATCTGTTTTGATTTATGATGTTTAACTGAATTTAGTTTTAAATCATTTTATATTAAAAATAGTATAGAATTAGAAAAAAATACATATTTTAAAACTACATCAAAAGATCTACCAAACTAGTGGTGACATATTATTTTATCAAGTGATAAACAAATAATTTAATTTGAGGTAAAGATTTACACATTTTGACTAAAGTTAAAATTAAATTATAGATAAATTTGTGTTGACTTTCCAAAAATACCCTTGATGTGATGGGTAAAAGTATGGTGTGATGTGTAGATTATTAGGAAAAAGGTATGATGTGATAGATATGGTTTGAAAAAGTATGGGGTAAAAGTGGTTTTTTAATAGAAACTGGTTAGAGATTGTGGGACGCAATTTTTTTGAAAGGTGTAAGTCTTTTTTGGAAGGGGAAGTAATACATTTCTCCCAAAAAATATTACATGTACGTTTCCAAGCTTTAATAGAGCTATTATACATTGAAGAAAAATGTCTAGCTATACTAGTAGATAGCCCTACTATCAACATTAGCTCTTTCAATTGTGACATTTCTTTGTGCTTTTGTGTGTTAGAATATTATTATACGAGTACGTACTGATATGAAATCACAGAATTATACATCAAGCCTCAAGAAGTTACGGAATAAAAACACATTCAACATATGATATGATCAATTAGGATCACTCTAGGTCTCTAGCTAATACTATAACGAGACAAATACTAAAAAATGAACTCAATAAATGAACACCTAAAATCGATCTATTGTGGGCATCACTTTTTTTTGGGATAACTCGTTAACTATTCGGTTCTTGTAAACAAAAAATGATACCTGAAAGTAGCTTTGGCACCCCCCTAAAAACTACTCCGTACTTTTTTCTTTAATTTGTGCGCACATAAACAATGTACACGCATTAATTACTTTTTCAATTTTTACTATTTTATAATTTATCTTATTCTTTTTCTCACACCAAAAAATAAAAATTATTCCAATCAGTAATTATTTTGTAACTCGAGATATTTCCCAAGAAATTCGCTATAAAGTTATTGTTTTATTGCTTTTATTTTAGCATACACACACGCGCTAGGAGTAGTACTTAATAGTTGCATATAGGGGAAGAAGATAATGGTGCATTTACATGAATTGTTGAGGACATCCTATAATTAAATAGAAATGACTGAACATTACTCATTAAAATAATAAAACAAAAAAACTAGTAAGCTAAAATGAAAACATAACGACGTCAATATATATGCACCAAAACGACGTCAATAATAATAATAATAATAATAATAATAATAATAATAATAATTATTATTATTATTATTATTATTATTATTATTATTATTATTATTATTATTATTATAGTAAGAGATAATCACAAACAAATCAATGGAAATTTAAATATGAGATTATTTTCTTTTTGTTGATAAAGGTGGAAAATACGAGATAAACTTCAAGTTGACCTAGAACTCTAGAAGTATAGCAATACTGAAATTCTTCTATTATTCCCACACGCGCTAATATTGTTGTTTTAATTAATTTACTAATCATAATTACGCAGCACTTAACAGCATTAATATATATAGCGTTTAAGAAATTAATTTGACGGAGTCTTCTTCACACGCTTTTTTAGGGCTAATTGGCCGTAATTATCTGCAGCTTACAACAGAAATAATTAACATGAACGACGATGACGACCGCCGTCATCATAAGCCGCCGTGCGCTGCATGCGCCGGCGACGACGAAGCCTTCTTCCGGTCACTCCCGCCGGGTTGCCGGTTCAATCCGACCGACGAGGAGCTCATCGTTCACTATTTGACCAGAAAGGTCTACAACCAAACCCTCCCTCGCAACCGGATTACCCCTCTCAATCTCTACGATTACAACCCCCAAATGCTCCCAAGTAAGCTTCTCTTCTCCATCCTAACACACACACACACACACAATATTTATTTATTTATTTATTATTTTTCCTCATGATTTTGCTATGAGACTAAAATAATTCACAGATCTACTACAACCACGATTGAACTTTTGTTAGTGGTGGAATTGGTTTGTTTCGTTGGGACGGTTTATATGATGTCCTCTTGGTCTAGATGTCACGAATTTAAATCTTATTGTTACTTCGTTAAAAATAAATATTAATGTTCGGGTGGTTGTTGATATAATAATTAATATTAGAGCAATATACACATAATAAAACTATGATATTATAACTTGTTACATTAAAAATTTATGTTTTGAATTTTTATATAAAAAATTAAATATAATATTATAAATTTCATATTAAATTAAAATAACATATAAAAAAATTATGTTTTTTATATATACTCGGAGTATTATATACTCCCTTCGTCCCAAAAAGATAAGAACGATTTGATTAAAGTGGTAAAATAAGGACGGATAATTTTATACTGACTTTCCAAACATTGTAGGATGTGATGTGTGGATAATTAAGAAAAAAGTATAATGTGATAGATAAGATATGAAAAGGTAAGAAAAAAGTGGTTTTTAAATGGAAACATAAGTATATTTAAGGGATAGCAATTTTTTTAAAACAGGAATAACTTTATGAGACGGGAGAATATTTTATATACTCCGTATTAAAATTTTTAAATATTGGGTCCTGAGAAAATAGGCTTGGGCCGGTAGGGCATTTTGGTCCATCATCGGACCGGCCCATTATTATTATCAACCTACTAGCAAAAATTGGAAAAATATAACACACAAATTCAAATTACACATTTCTTAAACCTCACACATATTTTTTTTCTTCAAAGTAGAAAAGCTTTGGGTGTGAATTACTTTGTTTCTTTTGTAATAATAATGATGTTTGGGTGGAACGTTTGATCCCGGGCGGGCAGATATCGGGGGGTGGGAGCAGGCGGCGGCGGGGGAGACGAGCAGCAGCAACAATTACGGGGAGAGGGACAGCTACTACTTCACGCCGAGGCACCGCAAGTACATGAACGGGAGCCGGCCCAACAGGGCGGCCGGAGACGGGTACTGGAAGGCCACGGGGGCGGACAAGAAGGTGGAGAACTCAAAGGGGGAGGTGCTTGGGTTCAAGAAGACCCTCGTTTTCTACCACGGCCGGCCCCCCTCCGGCGCCAAAACCTCTTGGATCATGCACGAATTTCGCGTCAACGATTCCCTCCACAACTGTGACCGCACTCTTAATAAAATGATGGTATGTAAACTCACCCCTATTCCTCCCTTATTATTATTATTATTATTATTATTATTATTATTATTATTATTATACAGAGTAATTATTATTATTATTATTATTATTATTATTATTATACAGAGTAATTATTATTATTTCTTTTGCCACACAAAACTTTTCAAAGATGAAAAAAGCGTGCTCTTAAAATGTACGGAGTATAATTTGATACTCCCTACGTCTCTTAAAAAATTCCCGTTTTGTCCTTTTAAGGATTTAAGGTAAGTGTATTTTGGTGTTGACTTTCCAAAAATGTCCTTTGATGTGATGAATAAAGTAGGATGAGATGAATAGATTAATAGAGAAAAAGTGTGATGTGATAGGTATGTAAAGAATTAGTAGAGTAAAATTGACTTTTTAAAAGGAAATTAGAAGTGTTTTTTAAACGGATGAAAAAAGAAATGTGAATTTTTTTGCGGGACGGAAGGAGTATTTTTTTTATTGTCATCATCATTATTATATGAAGTACGGAGTATTTTTTAAAACATGATATTTCAAAAGGGTAAATGTTATTCCTAATAGAATCTATTAGTAATATGTTTATGCATAAATTAACGTTCGTTTTTCGCAATAAAAGAGTTAAGTTTCATAAATTCTGAACTCATATATACGAGTCTTTGTTTTGTGGGTGCATGCAGTTAGACAATTGGGTACTTTGTAGGGTTTACGAGAAAGTGGACGTCAAAAATGGCAAAAAGAAAAAGGACAACGACAACACAGACGACGGATCCGAAATTGACGAGGACGTTGATGAAGCTGGGGGCGGCGATGGCAACGACGAACAAAACGATCAGAAGCCGGTGGTCGGGGACCGATCTAATCCTCCCCCGTCCCCAGTCCCAGTCTCAGCTAATCCTATAAGGATTGTCCCAAACCAGAATCAGAACCAGAACCAGAACCAGAACCTACCACCCACGTATGGTTTCTTGAATCAGGCGGTAACGCCCTTCCAGCATCACGAGAAGTCGGTGGTGAGGGATCGATCAAATAATTCTTCCGTTTTCGTCCCCACCCCTTCCCTTGCCCCTGCCCCTGCCCCTGCCCCTGTCAACCCCATAAGGATTCTTTCGAATCAGAACCAGAACCAGAACCTGGATGGCGTGTACGATCTCATGAATCAGGCTGCAACGCCCTTCCGACATCATCACAAGCCGATGCAGGTGGACCGGGCCAATTCACCCATTCTCGCGCCTGTTCCCATCGACCCAATAAGGACTTCCCAGATTCAGAATCAGAATCAGAACCAGAACCAGAACCTGCCTCCCGTGTATGATTTCATGAACCAGTCGGAAACGGCCTTCCCGCATCCCATGTGTGGTTTCATGAATCAGGCGGCAACGCCCTTTGAGCCTACCATCTGGACCGGGACCTTTATGGAAGTGGGTTATCCGCTCTATGTGAACGAGGAGAGAATGCTGCTCAGCATGAACGACCCCAACAATGCCACCATGGAGCAATTCGCGCAACAAATTGTCACGTGCCGCCGGGGTTTTATAGTTGACAACAACGACGACAACAACACCAACACCAACAACAACAACAACAACAACTCAAGCTATTCTTCTAATTCTTTTAACTACCTAGAGAATGAAGACATGCCCCAAGGGCTATACATCCAAGACCACAAGAGAGAAGACACCATGGGAACATATGGAAATGACGAAAAGCCCCAAGACAAGGAAACGCCAAAAGACGTGTACAAGGACTACATTCAGTGATTAATTGATTAGTTTAGTTTAGAATATTGTTTAGTAGCATCTTTTGATTTCTCCCTCGTAATTATGTAGTGTAGGCTAGTAGTATAGTTTAGCTTCTTTCTAATAACGGAGTACAGTTCAACTATATATAATTATATATACTCCGTAACTTTCTTTGAAAGCAATTTGCTTTAGTTAGTTCTTAACTAATTTGTTGAACTGTTTAAATTACGTTTAGCCAGTATGATTTAAGCCCGTAAACTACCTACTACACATCCATTTGAATTAGAACAAAGCTACAAAAGTTATAGTCCAAGTTGTGCACCGACACTTTGATGGTTTACATTGATACAAAATGCTAGTACGATAGATTGAATAATTTTGCATTAACATTTTGTTTCACTATGAACCATTGAAAGTGTCGGTGCACGTACACCTGTGGCATACAACATGAGGTAAACTCCTAGGTATATATACACCTATCATGGTTGTTTAAATTAACTTCATTCTATGTTGCGTTCATTTAAGGAATTTGAGTAAAAGAAAAAAGAGATTAGAAACTTTTTTGTTTGTTAAGAAAAAAAACTTTTCTTTTCTTTTTTTACGAATTCCTTTAGCCAAATATAGTGTAGAGTTCAATTTTTCTTTCAGATTTCTACATTGTTCAATTTGTTTTTGTGAGAAAAAGGTGATGAAATAGCAAAATCCATGTTAGAAAATTAAAATATTTACTGAGACACAACCAAATTGGTTTCTTGATATTCTATCATACATTTATTCACCAAAGGGTCACGAATTTAAAACTCATCGCCACTTAGTTTAAAAATATAATATTCGCATGCAAGCTAAGGCTCGAGCAAAAAAACAACCCCCCCTCCCCCACTTCAGGGAGCGTACGTGTTAGAATATAAAAATCATTATATTCCTCGACCACAACCACAAGCTTGAGCTTTTGGTTGAATCAGTTGCTTGACAATCCATCTCCCGTGACTACCTAAAGCATTTTACTAAGCATTATGTTTTACTATACTTTTTGGTATCGTAAATGGTCATGATTGGTAAAATAAATGTATTTTATCTCTTATTTCAAGATAAAAACATGGAGCTCCTATGTTATATATTTTTGATTTGTACTCTTACTTTAGTCTTTTTTTCTTAAAATTTTATCTAAAACACTAATACCAATACAAATAGTATTCCCAAACAAAGCTTTAAACAAAAACTACTCTAGTCTAGGTGTAGGAGAGAGAGAGAAATAAAATGACATTGAAAAATAGAACATGAATTAAGGAGCAAAAAATGTGGGAAAATGGTTGGAATATGAATGAATGGGAAGATGTAGACCCAAGAACGCATATAGTCTCTCTCTCCTTTAGAAAATTGAGTGGCCACCCAAAAACTCCTCTCTCTCCCTCTCCATAATGTCCTCAATTTCCACCCTCCAACCACACCATCAAAATCCTCCCCTTCAACACCCACACATTACTTAACATTATTGATGCATGGCATTCTCCTCTCACCACTTATTGTTAGCGTCTTTCTCCACCACCACCACCTCCCACCTCTCTAACGGCCGGCGAGGAGATTAGGCCCCCCAGCCTTGTCATCATCGTCGGTCGGCCACCATACTTCGCCCACACAATGCCGATGCCACCTACCCCACCACCTGCGGCCACCGCCCCAGGCGTCGGCATCAGGGGGAAGAATGACATCAAGTTGTCGTCCCCCGCCGCCGGCGACAGTGACAAGGCTCTCGTCGCCAGACGATCTTCCGGAAAACTCTCGAAGGCTTTCAACAAGGCGATGCTCGGCAACGTCGTCGTCCGGGCCTTCTTCAAGACGAGACCGCGCCGCCCTCGGACGCCGGCCGAGGTAGTTTCTAGAACAACATTGGTGTTGGACGCCCTCAATTCATTCGAGGACAACGATGGGGGTAAACGTTTTCCAAAGGTACGTTGTAGGGCTCGTTTGGATACACATTTTTTATTAGCGTCAGCGTTATGAATAAAATTTTAATGGTGTAGGTTAACTTTCAAAACGCTAACCCTAAATGTCGCCCGTAAATATTTTTTTTCAAAATGAAAACTTCTAACGCTATTCTCAAACAGGCTAGGGTTGTAGTTGTCATATCAATCTCGAGTGCAACCTCCTCCTTAGAGCATTTAAGTTTAGCAAATTTTTTCAGTCGAAATTGATAAATTGGATTACTAATTAAACAAAATATTGTTTTATCTAATTATAAGTTTAAGATTGATCATAATTGACTCTAAAAATTCAAAACCGGACAAATGTAGGACACATGAGTGTTATTTCATACTCCATTAAGAAATAGAGAAAAATATCATCTGTTATGTTTTCATCTCCAAAATGGAAACGTTGTCATTGGGCAATACCGGCATTGTCAATTGTAAAAACTCAAATGAGAGAATAATATTTAGACATATATATAAAGTACGGAGTATTAAGTTTAGAAATCACCCTAAATAGGACTAAAACATAGAGAAAAGTACCAAAATAGGACTTTCATGTTTTTTTCTCGAAATAGGCCTTTGCACTGTGGTAATATGACTTTGCATTATTAAGTTTACAAATCAAGTTTTGCACGTTCTTCGAAATGTGAACAAAGATACAGAGTATGTGGAACTGATCAGAGAGTAACTTTCATTTAATTAATAACCAAAATTTTGTCTATTTAGACTCGAAAAAATCAAAATACATATTCGATCCATTAATCGTTTATGTATTATGTTCATCAGATGGGTGAAGTAGACACACTGATTAGGGAGATGAAGTCAATTCTGTATGGGAGCAGTGACTCTGAGCCAGCTGCTGAAGCTTGTGCCCAACTCACACAAGAGTTCTTCAAAGGCAACACCCTCCGTCTCATTGTCCATTGCCTTCCTAAACTCAACTTGGAGGTTTATTACTCAATCTTTATGACATAATGATTATATTGTGTATATTTTGTTACTTTAATTTTTAAGTTGGGATAAGGTTTTTTTGTGAAATTTCATTGAGTGGCTTATTTTATATCGGTTTTGACATCTACCGTTGGTGTCATATGACAACCGTCGGTTTAATTGAAGCCGTTATGGAGTTGGGAGAAACACCAAAATAAGACTAAAACATTGAAAATATACCAAAATAAGATTTTCATGTTTTTATTCTCGAAATAGGATTTAAAATGCATTTACATTACCAAACATGGTCATGTACATTACCAAAAAGTATAGTAATGTATGCATGTAGAGTGTCACATTACAACCACACTATTACAGTGTGAAGTCCTATTTTGGAGAAAAAACATGAAAAATTTTATTTTGGTATTTTTATTTATGTTTTAGTCCTATTTAGGGTGTTTTCTATATGGAGTTTCATTCAAAAAATTTGTTCCTACCCTCATTCACTCTCACGGCTGCGTTCCGTTCGCTTGATCTGATTTTTTAAAGATCTGATCTTATTCGATCTGACGTGATCCGGTAGATCTGATTGCAATTATAAATAAAGTTATTTCTGATCGAATTATAATATGAATAAGTAATAAGCAGAAAATATAAGTTGAACGGAACGCTGTCTAAACGCCAATCATCCCATCCTAGTCCCATACCACTCTCTCCTGCCCGTCGATTGGAAACAGTAAATTATTATTGTCAATTGGCGAACAAGAAGGGATAAAGGGTGGTGTTCAAGAGGTCGGAACTATTATTTTTCTCAAACACAACACCGTAGGATTCCTAATTCTCTATATAGCGGTCCCTTTTCTAGTCCTTTTTTTATTTTAATTTGTGGGTTTTGCTTTTCTGATCTAGGCGAGAAAGGATGCCACTCAAGTTGTAGCCAATTTGCAAAGACAGCCTGTGAACTCACGGTTGATTGCTTCAGACTACTTGGAAGCAAACCTGGATATTGTGGATCATTTGGTCTCTGGGTGAGCCAATATATATATAATTGCCTTAATTAGCTTCTTAATTGTCATTTATACTCTGGTGTAAGAATTGGTGTAAAAGACAAAACTTGTCTAATGTAATTAACATCGATATATATATATATTTATAGATATGAGGATTCGGGTCTTGCATTGCACTACGGTGCAATGCTAAGGGAGTGCATTCGCCACCAGGTCGTTGCGAGCCATATCTTGAAATCTGGGCAAGTTCGCAACTTCTTTGGCTACATGCAACTCCCTGAATTCGATGTCGCCGCAGATGCCGCCACCACTTTTAAGGTTCTCCTCTTTTACTCTCTCTCTTTTTGTTTTTTAATTTCGCCATTAAATTGGAACGAGAGAGGTTCTAGTGCGATTGCGGTGTCACTCGACACTTCGGTGTTCCATTTGAAAAATATATGACTCGTAAGTCAAGTAAACTTGGGTGGAGAGTGGATTCAGCTTAGGCTGCAACTGAAAGTTTCACAAAGTTAGAAATTATCAATTTTGCAAAAGAAGCATCATAAGACAGTGACAACAAAATCGTGCCCAATTGGAACAATACAAATAAGATTAACATGACCTTTGCACAAGAATGACCCACAAACCGGTAAATGGACTCTAAGTTAATTCTACACATTCATCTTTTTTCCCGTTTTTGCAATGTTTTTCAGGAGCTTCTGACCAGGCACAAATCTACTGTGGCAGAGTTTCTCTCTGGAAACAATAATTGGGTATTGTTTTTACTTTTATATTTCATGTTCGAGAAATTTAAAAAGAAAATGATGCCAAAAATATTTTTTCTTGCTTGGTTTGAAAGGAAAGAGAAAAGTTAAAGAAAAAGAAAATGATGAAAAAAGTATATTGTATTACTCTAAAAAGAGGGAAAACAAGTTTCCGTGTAAGAAAAAAATGACAAGAACGTAATCTCACGCTTGTTCAATTTTGTGATTGGCCCTCAGTTTTTTACCGAATTCAACTTCAAACTTCTGGGGTCTCCAAATTATATTACCAGAAGACAAGCTGTCAAGGTAATTAATATTCTTTACATATTTACATCTTAATTGGGAATAGACCTATATATGAACATGTTTTTTTGTTCACTCATGACTTGATATTGTTCATTTCCTTGATCAGCTTTTGGGTGACATTTTACTTGACCGTTCAAATTCTTGTGTGATGGTACGCTATGTCAGCTCATTGGATAATTTGATCATTATGATGAATCTTTTGAGGGTAAGATATAATTACTTCACATTGTAAAAATGAGTCTCCATTATTGTTACAATACAGTAAAAAAACATGTTTTTTTATATCGTTTGCTCATTCTTACGTGTTAGAGTATAAAACTCAAGTTTTAGTTTATTTTTTTGTTGAGTTGGTTCTTTAACATTATCCCTGCTTTGCGATTTGCAAATTGCATGAACGCGGTTTTGTGTTGCAGGAGTCAAGCAAGCCCATCCAGCTAGATGCCTTTCACGTATTCAAGGTACGAAGAAGAGAGACGTTCATTGATCTCTCAATTGTTAAATCACTTAAATGTACAAAACACTAGTTGTTGTTGTTGTTTTAATGGCTAATTGAATCTGCTCTTTGGTCGCGATTTTCAGCTTTTTGTGGCTAATACAAATAGACCTCCGGGCATCACCAGCGTTCTTGCTAACAACAAAGAGAAACTTCTCCGACTCTTTGCAGGCTTGAGGATGGACAAAGGTTATTATTATTATTATCAATCACTTGCATATAAAGTCAGAATCTACTTTCTAACTCAAAAGTGGTCCTTCTATATATTCTAGTGACACTTATCCTTGTTTTCCAATGTGGGAATTCCAGCAAGAATCAATTCGACCAAAAGCTTAAGCTTGTGATTGTAATTCTATGAAAATTTTTATATTCCAACAATGTGGGAGCACTGTTATATCAATGTTTTTTTTTCAATTTTGTGGGTGCAGATGATGAACTTTTTGAGTCGGACAAAACTCAGATCATGAAAGAAATCAGCGGACTTGAATTGCCCCGACAAGCTGGAGATGTTTATAAGCTACCCAAAACGCCAATGTGTTCTGGTGAACTGTCCAAAGTTTCTCCATTGCCAACACCAACAGCCTATTCCCATGAATGATTTGTTGAATCCTATGAAACATTATTAATGTAGATATATGAAGCCATATATGTGTCTATTGTGTTTTTGATACTTGCGTTTACCCTTGCCATATATTGCTCGGGAGGTCGTGTAATTTTTTTTCCTTTTGAAGGCGCGTCCCCGGATTGCTTTTCCCATAAAACTTTTCTAGTCTAGGGAAAAAAAGTGGGATTTTTGGTGTTACTTTCCAATTTTATCCTTACGTTATTGTTGAATAGAATATGATGTGATGAATAGATTAATAGTGAATAAATATGATGTGATATGTACGTAAATAATAAGTAGATCAGAGATAAATGGAAAGTTTTAATTGAAAAAGGATCCAGAAGTATTTTTTCTGTACGGACAAAAAATGAAAATGTTTTGAACAGATAGAGTATTTTTTATCATTGTAATTCATTATTTTTAATGTGTCGTCATGAGGTTAAGTACTGAGTGCGACACTAGGTTGAGTGATTTCTTCATTTCATATTAGAAGTTGAGGCAATGAAGAGAAAGTTTTTTTTTTTTTTTTTTTTTGGGTAACTAGCTAGCTAGCAAGTACCCAGGAGCCCGCCCTAGATAGAGTTGAGCTTAATTTGTTCTTTGCTATTGAGCACTCTCCTTGTTCTAAAAAAAACTTCCTCTTTTATTATTTCCACTTTTAACAAAATACTTTCATTTTTTATTAAAAAACAACTTTTACCTTTACTTTTTCATATCCTGCCTATCACATCATACGTTTTCTCTAATACTCAATCCATCACATCTTACTTTTACCCATCACATTAAGGGTAAAATTTGAAGTCAAGTACAATTTAACACTTCCTTATTTGAAGTCAAAATTAGAACATTTTTATAGAACAGGGGGAGTATGTCACACGCCCTTGGTTTAACGGCCAAGAATGTATAATTAAAGAGGTCAAAGTTATTCAAATTTAGCAAATTTTATTTTTCTTCACACAAACATAAGCCGTCCCTCATAGACGCAATAAACTCAAGTTTGTGTAGTGAAATATAATTAAAAATGTCCTAAACAAAAAAAAAGACTTGCAAAAAAATTAAAAACATTTGACATGCATCACTTGCCCTAGACTTGTGAGCTTTAAAAACATCAAAGATCATTGATTCATTCACTCTTTAAGCAAGGGCAACTTTATGGCTTCTCTCCTTTTTTCTTCCTCAACCCCTTTCTTGAAACTTTGTGGCATCTCCCTCTTCTCTTTTTCCTCGTCCTCAAACACACTTCCAGAATCTCTCTTCTTTCGTAACGTATTATTCTTACCCCTCTTATCAACCCTAATCCGCGCCTCTTCCACCAATTTCCACAATGCCGTTTTCCGGTCCCTGGTGTGCTTGATCAACACCTCGCTGATGTCAGCAGGCGTCATCTCAGCAGCTTCTATGGCCTCCTCCAGCTCCCGGAGGGCCTCCAAGTCGCGACCCTCTCCACGTTCATCAATGTCGAATCCGAGGTAGTTCTTGACGAGGATTTTTAGGGCCGGGAAGGTGCAGTAGTTCATGTGGATGTGCATGTCCATTCTGCCCCTCCTGAGTAGCGCAGGGTCGAGCCTCTCTACGTGGTTGGTGGTGAAGATGAAGATCCTCTCGCTCCCGCAACAAGACCATAAACCGTCTGTGAAGTTGAGTAAACCGGAGAGAGTTATGGCGCTCTTTGTTTCACCCTTCTCCGGTGGCACCGCCGGGGTTGGCCCCGATGAATTTCCTTCCGACAGCATAATCTCTTCTTTGTTCCTTTTCCAAACGAAACTTCCTTTTAAGTTAATACCCCATTTCCCCCAAGTACAAATATATATAGAGGTATACAACCTAATACTCCCTCCGTCCTAAAACTTTCTTCCCAGAGCACTATTCCAACTTCACGGGAATTTATATTTATTTGTGTTTTTTCATAGCCTATATGATAAAATAAAATACTCTTGTCACCACTTGTTTTGTTGAACTTTTGATGTAGTTTTTAAATATGTATGTTTTATTTTTTTATTTCTATACCAATATTTAAATAAAATAGATTGAAAAAACTTGAGATTTTTCTTCGTTTTGCGAACCGGGAAGAAAGATATAGGACGGAGGGAGTATGTACTACCTCCGTCCCAAAAAACATGGGAGTTTTGGTTTTGGGGAGGGATTTAAGGGGAGTGTATTTTGGTATTGAATTTCCAAAATTGTCCTTTGATGTGATGGGTAAAAGTATGATTTGATGGATAGATTATTAATAAAAAGGTATGATGTGATAGGTAGGGTATAAAAAAGTAAGGAGTAAAAGTGACTTTTTAATAGAAATGAGAAGTGTTTTTTGGGACGGATGAAAAAAGAAAGGAGAAAGGTTTTCTGGGACGGAGGGAGTATGTGATACTCTAAGAGTTACACAAAATATTATCCATTTTGATGTATTTTTGGTCAAACAATTGCACGCTTTGACCATAAATTAAATATAATCTAAATAAAGAAATGTTATAAAAATTTGATATATCAAAATTAGATCCTAAGATGAATCCAATTATTTTGAGTTTATATTATAATTCAATATATTTTTCTCACAATTTGTAATCAAAGCGTGTAACTGTTTGACCAAATACTATTTAAAATGTGTAATGTTTTGTAGGACGAATGGAGTATTATAGTCTTAGCAAGTAGGTGGACTATTATATTCCGACAGAAGTACTCCCTCCATCCCCCTGTATTTGTCCACATTTGACTTTTGGAACAGTTCATCTAAGCACTTTGACTCATCAAATTCTCTCAATGTGTAAGCCTAAATATAGTCATGTGTGATCTTGTTTGATTTGTCTTAACATATAGATTATTAATATATAATTTTTATAATTTTTTTGATATACAAATTACAAGATAAAATGGATTAAAGAAGTGCATTATTGGATGGTGTGTAAAAATGAAAGTGGACAAATGCAGGGGGACCGAGGGAGTATGTTACAATAAATCCATATTGAGATACAATAATCTTTCATCTGTAATTAGTATTTGTGCAAAAATGTACCTAGTAATGTCAAACTTATGGTTCCCCATATTAACAAACTATAAGTGACATGGGTCCGTACGGGTGAGCTATAAGGGTGGAAGCCGGAAGGTGTGATTAACTAAGACCATTTTGTCAAGGAGGGTAGCACCAGGGGCGCCCATAGGGGTGTTCATCAGGTGTATACGAACAGGGCCCAATTTTCAAGAGGGTCCATTTTATTTCTTTTGTTATTTTACAATAGAGTTTACGTTTTGTTTATAAAAATATATCTTGAAAACTGTTGAAAAATAAAGTGTACGTGATGAAAAAACTATATACGGGCATCGTTTAGTATCAGTATTTTCAAAGTAATATGTACCATAAAAATTTTATCCAAAATACTAACGTTAATTCTAACATTATTCCCAAGCAGACCCTTAATATACTTCATGGGTTTTTTTTTACAAGTAATATTTAAAACATGGCTTTTTTCTTAGGGTTTAGTTTTCCAAGCTTGAATATGATATACTCCATATATTTTTATTGGGGGCGGTTCCTATGACATTGCCCGGCAATGTCATGGGATGACCCGGGAGCGTTCCAGTGCCCCATTCGTAAAATTGACGGTTCCTACCACCCCTAGCCCCCCGGTAAACCCCTCACCCCGCCCCGACCCAAACACACCCCCCACCCCCTTCAATTGCACCCCATAAGTTGATTTTTACTTTGGAGTCAAATTTTGACTCCAAAGTCAAAATCAACTTGTGGGGTGCAATTGAAGGGATTGGAGGATGTGTTTGGGACTTTGGGTCGTGGCGGGGTGGGGGGTTTACCGGGGGGTTAGGGGTGCTAGGAATCGTCAACTTTACGAATAGGGCACCGGAGCGTCCTCGGGTCATCCCATGGCATGAGATTTCAATGTCATGGGAACTCTACCGGTTTTTATTAGGGTTTTGGATTATAATCATTGACCCGAATTAACAAGTTCGACCTTAATTAACTCTTCACCCACTCCTCTCGTTCGATGTCCAGTCCAATTACAAATAATAAAAACATTACTTTTGTTCCTCTTTTTGAAATTTGATGACATTCTTTTATTTAAAAGAAAAGAATAAAATTTATTCTTAGATAGACAAAAAGAAACGAAAGAAAATTACGGAGTAATTTGCTGGGACGAGAGAGCATATTAGTTTTCATATACTCCGTAGAATTCATGTCTAGTCTCTACTCTCTAGTGGATTCCTAAAATTAAATTAACTTCACAGTTTGCGTTTGTGGTAAAACTTTTAAATTTCGATCGCATATTACGGAAAATTACATTGAGTTTTTATATAAATTTAGTATTAATAGATTTATTCTCTAACATAGGTATGAAATATCTTATTTTTATAATAGGTATTTATATATAAATTGAGATATTAATAGTCAAAATGTTGCATTGAAAAACGCAAAAGTTTAAATCAGAAATTAGTTTTAGAACGGAAGGAATATATTCTGTCCGTCTCTAATTGGATTACAATTTATTTGTCTCTCTCCTGTTGATGCCTTTTGTTTGTTTGTATCTTTTCATTGATTATTTGATAAAATAAAATATTTTTGTCACCTCTAATTTTATAGAACTTTTAACGTAGTTTTTTAATATGTAATTTTAAAAGATTAGAGATTTTGCCTCGTAAATTTCAATTTGTAATCAAATTTGGGACGAAGGAAATAGTTTTGTTGCGGCGATATATCGTTGTTCAGAACTATTGAAAACATTTTCCAATGATATTTACTCTCTCTGTCATAATTTTGATAACAACTTTTTTCTCTCATCTCATGATAATTTTTGTTTATTTATATGTTTCCATTGATTGTTTGATGAAATAAAATATTTTTGTCACCTCTTATTTTTTAATATATAATTTTTATTTTTTATTGATATAACAATATTTAAATAAAATGATTTCAAAACTTACAAGATTTTACCTCGTAAATCTAAATTCGTAATCAAATTAAGGACGGAGGGAGTATATAATTAAGCCCTTCTCACTTGTTATTGCACTTCCCATTTTTGTGCAGACAAGCATGGTATCATATTGGATCATAATAATGCCGAATCGTTTATAGTATTTATAAACCTGATTGATTTTTTTCATCACAAGCCGAAACCGAACCGATATCTAACGAGGCAGGACCGTGATACAACCTTTTAAATATTTATCATGGATCGAACTGTTCAAAGTTATATGTCGAATATCTCAAATAATTATTTGTCTACTTCATCTTACTGCATATGTAGTACTTCATACGGAGTATTGTATTATTTATTTTTTAATTATTTTCATTATTATTGTTGTTATTATATGTATTACTACTATTACTTTATTTTTGGAAGTTATTAATAGTCTCATATCGTATGAATTGAAAAAATATATATTTTTAAATTTTGGTTTGTTTGTTTATTCTTTATGTTTATAATCTTTTTAAATTCTAAATCAATACTTTTTCTTAACAAAGTTTTTTTATACAAGGTTAAGCTTTTATTTCAATATTCTTTGAGTAATGCATGTTAATTTTTATTTGCATAGTTTGAACATGAATATGGCATTGTACTATTCCGCTTTAAAACGGGATAATATCGAATGATTTTGGAATTCATTGCGTATCGATCTCAAACCATTTATATAAGAGCGGTTCCTGATAGATTCTGGAAGTATCACAGACCTTCAAGGACCGCGTCCATCCCTACTACTCCATCCGTTCATGAGTATTGGTCTAATTTTGACTTTTTTCGGTCAAAATTGATAAATTTTGTCCTTAAATTAAATAAAAATGATATTAGATATTGATACAAAAATAGTTTTATTAGATTTACTACATCAGATATTTTCATAATATTATGTTATCTAATTAATATACCTTATAGGTCAAAGATTAAAAACAACTGATAAATAAAGTCAGAACTGTACAAATACTCAGGGAGGGAGATAAGAATTCATTTGCCAAGGTTTTTTTTACCCAACGTCAAAAGTGATTTGAAAAACATGGTTAAAAACTAGTGCATGGAAGAGACCATTTGGAAAAGTTAAAACTACTTTTTGAATGCTTTTGTGCGCAAGAATTGAAATGTTTCACTAATCATGATTTCACTTATTAATTAAAATTATGAGTAGTGAATACTCTCCTCATCTAGAAATAAATGTTCTGATGAGTTGACTTTTACATAATATTTTTTTAAAAAAAAACTAGAGAATAGAAATTTAAAATATAAATCATTCAATTTTTTTTCTAAATGAAATGTATATATTTATTTTTCGACGTCAAAATAAGAAAAGCAATACATTTATTTAGAGGAGGTATAGTAGTTTTTTTTTAGATTTAGAGAACATACAAAACTAATTTATTCCGTAATAAGCTCTACAGATGGAAGACTTTGTACCAATTATGGGCAATTGATATTGGCACTCCAAAAATTACTAGTTGCACTCCACTTCCTTTTTATATTTCGTTATTTCCCTAAATGCCCCTCAAGCACTTGATTTTTTGGGTACTTCACCTCAACACTCTTCATAACAAAATTAAATTAGTTCATTATTGATTTATACTCCCTCCGTCCTAAAACTTTCTTCCCAGTTTGACTTTTCCCCATTTTTAATTTTTGGCTTTGACTTCAAATTTTACCCCTCTTAAAAAAGATTTTTTGCAAATTTTTTTTTGCAATCATTCAAAATATAAAGTTAGAAGATAATTGGTGTAAATACATGAGGGTATTAATGTCATTTGTTATCTTTTTTTTTCTAATGGGAAGGTAGTTTTAGGACGTAGAAAAAGGGGAAGTGTGAAGAAAGTTTTAGGACGGAGGGAGTATATCTTTTTACTAAGAGAGAAAGACCAAATTAGGACTAAAATATTGAAAATATATCAAAGTAGGACTTCCATGTTTTTATTCCCGAAATAGGATTTACATTATCATAATGGTCATATACATTACCAAAAAAGTATAGTAATTTGCACATGTACATTGTCACATTACCACAATGCAAAGTCACATTACCACAGTGCAAAGTCCTATTCCAGGAAAAAAAACATGAAAGTCCTATTTTGGTATTTTTCTCTATGTTTTAGTCTTATTTAGGATGATTTCTATTTTACTAATTCATTTTTTTCACGGGTCCCATGATGGCTTTTTCACTTTTTTCTATCATTTTTTGGAAAAAGAGTATATGGTTTAAAATAAGTATTTTCTATTTTAAAAAAAATAAATCATTGAAAAAATATCTTACAATTAAAAAATTTAGATTAAAAAAAATAAATTTTAGAATTATTGAAAGGTGTTGATTACTCAAATATACATTCATTTTATACTAATATACTTGGGAGTAATTAACTATGAAAATAGTAAAATGAGAAGAGTGAATGAAAAACTAAACAAAAATTAGGATATTCTGAATAACTAGTGTATTTTATGGGGAGTGAAATGAAATAGTATTTGAGAGATTAAATCAAAGAATTAAAGAAATGGAATATAAGTATTAATATTTGGAGTCATAATATCATTTGCCAAATATGGAGTGGTGAGGGGCACTTTAGGGAAATAATGTACTCCCTCCGTCCTAAAACTTTCTTCCCACTTCCCCTTTTTCTCCGTCCTAAAACTACCTTCCCATTAGAAAAAAAAAAGATAACAAATGACATTAATACCCTCATGTATTTACACAATTATCTTCTAACTTTATATTTTGAATGATTGCAAAAAAAATTTGCAAAAAATCTTTTTTAAGAGGGGTAAAATTTGAAGTCAAAGCCAAAAATTAAAAATGGGGAAAAGTCAAACTGGGAAGAAAGTTTTAGGACGGAGGGAGTAATATAAAAAGAAAATGGAGTGCAAGTAGTAACTTTTGGAGTGTCAATATCAATAGCCTTGTACCCATTCAAAAAGAAAAAAAGGGAGTGGCAAACTTTGGGTAGGGTGACGTGGGGGTCTATTATATGCAAATTATGCAATCCTAATGGTATAAAGTATTCTTTGGAAATTAATACTTTAATTCAATTACAAAATTTAATTTTTTAAATTTCAAATGACAAAAATAAGAATATGGATTTGTAATTAAAATTTAATTCGTTATTAAGTCGTACTTCTTTTGAGTGACTTTAATTTTTAATTCAAACCCAAACATATATGGCCTATGGGATTGGTTCAAGTGAGAATTGTTCTTACTCCAAGAATAGACCTTATCGTGAGAATGATGCATTTTTGTACCGTCACGATGTATTTTTACTTTGTGGTAGTGCATTTTCGATACTGGGAGTAAAGTTCAACTTATTTACCGTAATGCCACTGCGTTTTTTCAGATTTTTTCAGTTTTTACATCTAATGCACGAGAAAAGTATTATAATTTCTTTTATTAGATTGCATTCTCACTTGATCCAAAATCTATGGCCTAATGATATATATGTTTCATGTATTTTCGAGCCACTTTAACTTTTCATATCTTTTATTTTAAATAATCAGATTTGGGAGCTCAAATTCTATTTACCAAATTATAGACTTTGGTAATTTAGTTTTAATTACCGTTTTTCAGTTCCTTATTTTCATTATTCCGTATTTGAAACAATAAAAATGGCACTGACATTTAATTATATCAAAATATATAAATGAGTTCATTGTTCTTCCGTGGTTCAAAGGTCTACATGAGAAAAATAGACCTTCTCACAACCTAGCAAGTGAATTTTTTTATACTCCCTCCGTCCCAAAAAGATCTTCCTGTTTCATTTTTTGCGCATCCTATAAAACACTTCTACACACATCTAAAATGCCTAAAATTTACCACATTTCTCATTTATTGTGGGTAGAAGTTGTTTTGAAAGTTTTTTTTTTATATTTGAGGTGGGATAGAAGTGTTTTATGAGATGCGCAAAAAATGAAACAGGAAGATCTTTTTGGGACGGAGGGAGTACAAAATAAAGGCTCAATTTTTTTTATAATATCAATGCATTAATGTCCATAAAATAAGCATGAATATAATCATAAGACCATGTAGGAATTTGCATATGTTGAAATGTTGAATATTAATGTGATTTTTCATGTTTAGCCATTAGTCTGTAATTCTAAGATATTACATAAATAGTCCTTAATTTTAGAAAATATTTCATAAGTAGTCGTTTTGTTCAAGTATGACAAAATATTTTCGCACATATCGTCAACAAAGGAGCGAATATGAAATAATTTTAAGAAACTGAGAAAGACAAGTCGCTTAAATAACTTATTATATCAATGCTTAAGTAATTGCAATGTCTTTATTTGGATATATTAGTCATTTTGATAATTAAAAAAATTTACCTGGAGGTAGTAGTAAGGTTGAGGGAGCAGTCGATGTCTTCAATGACAATAATGGATTTTGAGGTTGTTTTGATGAGCAGCTTCCTCAAATCGGAATTGGTCTCCACTTCCGTCAACTCCACGTCATATATGTCGTAGCCCAAGTAGTTTGCCATGGCGGCGATCATGCTCGACTTCCCCGTCCCCGGCGGCCCGTACAACAGATATCCCCTCTTCCACGGTCTCCCTACCATTGATGAAACATTGATAATTGATTAAGGGCCCGTTTCGGAATAGAGTTGGAGATTAACGTTGCCTTTTGGAAAACACTACTTACAGACAGTGTTTTAGCGTTAACGTTTTCAAAGTTAGTCTGCACTGTTAAAATTTTATCCAATATGCTAATGCGTATCGCAAACGGTATTCCCAAACGGGCCCTAAGTAATTAAAATTAACATTAATATCCATTTACTAAAATGTCCTTGCTTGTATATTATGGATCTTGGAAACAGCCCCGTGTAGGGGCAAGGTCTGCGTACACACACCCTCCCAGACCATACTATAGTGGGATTCAACTGGGTTGTTGTTGTTGTTGTCCTTGTATATTATGGACATTGTTTACTATAGATTTGGGGCATTGTAAAAATTAATTATGTTCCTGGACATTATAAAAATTAGAGACATTGTTTACTGATCGTAGACATTGATAGCTAAAGCAGTAGAATTTATTATTGCGATAATATCTTTTTTTGATCGACAATGTCTTGGCTTTTTAATAAAAAAATAATGGCAAAACTGCTCTTTTTAATAGAAAGTGGAAATGTTACGACAAAAATGAAAAAAAAACGAAAGGGCAAAACTGGTCTTTTTAGTGGAGTAGGATAGTACCTGTTTGGCGGTAAAACGACTCTCCATTGCAAAAATCTTTGAGGTCCGCTATGATCTCCTCCTTCTTTATCGGGTCCATGGCGAGCGTGCCGAACGTGCTCGGGTGCTTGAACGGGACCGACTCCCACGGGTGCGACCTCGAGTTCGTGTACAGCAGCAGCTCGCGGCTGCTCCGCCGTATCTCCCGGGCCTTCTCCGTCACGTGCTCGAGGTACGCCCCGAGCACGGCGGCCTTGTCCCTCTTGTGGGCCCGGAGCACGAACCTCCGCTTCTCCTCCGGGAGGGACCGCCACGAGAGGGTCTGGCCCTGGCGCGGGGCCACCACGTGCTCCCACTCCACCCTGACGCCGCCGGCGGCGGCGAAGGTGTCGGGGATGGTGTTGTTGTTGGAGAGGCCGAAGGTGATGGCGGCGGAGTTGGGGTTGCGGGCCAGGGTGAGGCGGTCCCCGGCGGCGGCGGCGATGCTGCTGAGGTAGAGCTTGACGGAGGAGTAGAGGTCGTTGGTGTTGAAGCCGTCGGTCTCCGGGATGTCGTAGTAGCAGTATGATGAGAGGCGGTCGTAGAGGCGGTGGAAGAACTTGGCGGCGGAGGAGCGGAGGTCCGGCGGGAGGAGAATTTGTAGGAAGCTCATGCTAAAGGCCCACACCCCCATGCCAGATGCTAGCTTGGTCCAAAACTCCATTACTATAATTATGTGTAATTAATCACTAGTATAATTACTTAATTTAGAGGGTATTAATTAGATGTGTTTCAAATGAATTTGTGATAGATAGACAATGTATGTGATGGCTTCTTTTATTTACCCATAAGCTAAGATTCATGGGATGAATGACTTTTGTTTGATTGTCATCATTGATTTGGTTCTTTTTGTTTCATATTTTCTTTGATTTTATTCATTTGTTTTTTGCTTTTTTATCTTTTGTGTTTGTTAGATTTTTAATTTTTTTAAGACATTTTTTTCTTGTTATTTTAACATTATTTGTTAGTTTAGTTACAATTTTTTTTGTGAAATGTTTTTGTTAATTTTTTTATATTTTCTGTTAATAACTGTCTATATTATGTTTTGTTTGATTTACTTTTTTATATTTTTGATAGTGTTTTGTCTTCTTTTTTATCTTTTTGTTAATAATTGTCTTCTTATTTTTTGGTTTAATCATTTCAACTAAACAAAAAAATAAAACCATGTGTCTTAATTTATTTTTTGTTTCATTTGATATTTTTGTTTATTAATGTGTTTTGTCTATTTTTAATGGATTCTATTTTATTAATCATTTTAATTAAACATAAAATGGTACTCCCTCCGTTCCATAAAACCCTTCCTCTTTCGTTTTTTTCCAATTTTCTAAACACTTCCACTTTCTATTAAAAAAACCACTTTTACTCCTACTTTTTCATACCATACCTATCACACCATATTTTTTCACTAATAACTAATCTATCACATCTTACTTTTACCTATAATATTAGGATCAAAATTGGAAAGTCAACCAAAATTATATTTTCCTTATTTTGACTCAAAGTCAAAATAGAAGTGTTTAAATGTTTTCTTATAGGGAGTAGTTTTTTATGTTTTCTGCTTGTCTTATCTTTTTTTTGATCTTTTTTGTAAACAATAAAATTAAAATAATTAATTAAAATAAGCCCAAATAAATAAAAAGGAGAACTAGAAACAAAAATCCCACAGAAAATAAACTTCTTATCATTTTTTGTTATTTTTATAAATCTAATTTTTTAATGACAAAGAAGTAAAAAAATTAATTCATACTTGGGTTTGTTCTTTTTTGTGTGTACCATATATAGTCTCTTTTTATGTTTCACTTATTTTTAGTTAGGTTTTGTTTTATATTTTAATTAGTTATTATCTTATTTATTGTTTTAATTAAACAAAGAATAAGCTAAATTGACTTTGGAGTCAAATTTTGACTCCAAGTGAAAATTAACTCGGGAAGGCAATTGAAGAGGGTGGGAGGGTGTGTTTGGGTCGGGTCGGGATAGTGGGTTTACCAAGGGGGTTACGGAGGTAGGAACCGTTAATTTTACGAACGGGATACCGGAGTACCTCTGAATCATCACATGACATTAGTTTCCAATGTCATGGAAACCAGCGTCTATTAAAATATAAACATGTATTAAATTTAAAAATATCAAATAATTAGAATAATAAACATCTAACAATAATGGACCCAAAAAGTTTGAACCATGTGCCCGTGTATACCTTGCACACCCTCCAACCCCTCCAACCCTCAATGCCATCTACTTCTAGTGCTAGCTGCTACATAGCGTCCCCTCCCAAATTTCAAACATCTCTTTGAGTCAAACTATTTGCATCAATTTTGTGGTGCACATTAATACAATGAAACAAGTTTTTGAAAATTTTCTACAAGATCATTAAAATGATACTCCGTATTATTTTGTAAAAAAATATAATATAATTCTATTTAATTGATAGTTAAAATTTATTAAATTTGATAAAAAAACTCAAATGAGACTAATATATATGTCGTAGCATTAGTCAATAGGAATATGTGGTGGTGAACATCGGACTGAAATCGAAAAGAACCAAAAAACTAGAATCCGAAGAGAGCAGGACCAGAATCTTGACCTAAAAAATTCTGGTCCGGACAGGTTGTGAATTGTTCTTTTTAGGGTGGTCCGGATTTAGAACGGAAAAAATGGTAATTTGTTTTAATTATTATTCAGCATTTTTTCTCAAATTGTTTTACATTATTTTTTGACGACTTAGGTGATTCAACCATGGTTTATTTTCTCTATCCATTGGCCGTGTTTCAAAAAATAAAATCAACTAAACGTATTTTCATCAAAAATATTTTAAGTTTAAAATAAATTTTATAGTTCCGTTAGTTTTTCATATTCCCAAAATATTGATAAAGTGGCAATTTAAAGTATTTCTTTTTTTTACCAAAAATATTCTATATATTAAAAGTATCTAAAATTCTAAGTCCAAACATTATAAAGAGTACTTCAATTTTTTTAAATATTATTTAAAGAAACCCTAAATTAAATGTCAATAATGTAAACTAACAAAAGTGAAGAAAATTAACCCTGCAAGTATCCAATTTCATACGGAGTACCAAAATGGACCGAAATTTTCTGGTCATCAATCATTTAGAAGAACTAGGGCTGGGTCGGGAAAACCGAAAACCGAAAACCGAACCGAAATCGATCGAAACGAGCTAGAAAAAAAACTGAACCGAAAAAACCGAAACCGAATGTAAAAAAACCGAACCGAACCGCAAGTGTTTGGTTCCGTTTTGGTTTTCACTTTGCACAACCGAACCGAACCGAATAAACCGAACTTTCTTAGATACTTTATTTTATTTATATGAATATATGTGATATATAGAAAAATAATAGAAATATAAATACAAATAAATTACTAGTGGATTAAAATTATTTTCATAACTATTAATTAAACATTCTAGCCATATTGTTATAAATTGTTCGTAATGGATTTTACATACGATGTCTTTGGAAGTAATTAAAATCTTCTAAATCTTTATTGGGCACTCAATACATATTTTTTTTATGTAAAATTGAACCGAAAGGAACATTAACCTTCCGTTTGGTTTTTTGTTTGTGTAAAAATCAAACAAAAAACCAAAGTTAACACTACATATTGTTATTATTTCATCAAATTAGTGTTTTTACATTTTTTAATGCTTATAAAATTCTATATTCAAAAACCGAAAAAACCGAAAAAAACCGAAATAAAAACCGTACAAAACCAAACCGAATAACCAACGGTTTACATATTTTTTAGGCAAAACCGAACCGAACCGAACCGCTAATTTCCCTTCCGTTTTGTCTTTGGTTTTGGGTGAAAACCGAACCGCCAAAACCGAACCCACCCCTATTTAGAACTGAGTTGATGAGTTGGTCCGGAATTTACCCGCCCGAAATCAATTTTTCCGGTTCCGTTCCAGTCGGGTTTTTGGTTTTTCAGTGCGACCCTAATTTTGTTCCAATCATATTTCGGAGTTCATAGACTCCAGAAAAGCTGAGAATCAGCGTCCAAACTTCTCTTCGCCGGAAAAAGCATTCGCTCGTCGCGGCTATCTCTGGCGCCGGCGACAATCAATTTTCGAGGTAAACCTAAAAGCTATGAATTAGGTTTAGCTTAAGTTTCTGCAATCAATTTTTGTGCATTTTTTTACCTTTTCTGTTTCAAGCTTCGTTCTTTTATGAATTAGGTTTAGCTTAAGTTTCTGCAATCAATTTTTGTGCATTTTTTTACTTTTACTGTTTCTAGCTTCGGTCTTATCTGATCTCTTTTATCTCGTAATTCAACATAATATGCCGCAGTGAATCTTTCTTTGCATAATGGATGTCATGAATCTTCTAAAAGATTACCCCTTTGCTACACTACAAGATGTGGAGCAGCAAGTCCTCACTACTGGCCCAGATCTGGATGGGTATCACAGCTCTTCTTACCTCAGCTCCCATATGGATAGCAGTATTCATTATATCAGTAAGGCACGAGAAACAGAAAAAGTAAAAGGCAGAGAACACGTTGAAGCTGGGCCTTTACTTCATGTGCATTCAGTACATGTACAACCAAAACAAGCTCTAAGAAACAGAGCACTTCTTGTATATGGTACGATTCGGGTTAAGTATGAAAAGAGCGGAAAACCGATGCAGCTTGATGTTTACAACCGAACTGCTAATGATGCCGACGACATTAGCCCAAGTGGTGGCGATTTATCTCTTGGTTGGCCTAATACTTTTTGTGATGGGAATGATATGTGGATGGAATTGCAAGGAACAACCATAGAGGTGGATCTCCATCTCAAAATTGGGGATGAGGTTGTTCCGTTGGCTCAAGATGAAATTTTGGTGGAGGATACAACTGAAGGTGATTTTGAAGAAGTGAGATCAAAAGAATTCCATGGCACACTTTGCTCGGCTACCTTGATTTACATTGCCATGCCATTTGCTGCTGTTTGCCAAGTGCATGTAAGATTCTCTAGCAAAGATAAGGACCGGGTTGTTAATGTTGCTGGAAAAATTGTCGCGCGATATAAGAACACTTATGGAAACTATGTTTCAGAAGCATGCATTCTTTTTGATAAGCAGAATGACTTTGAACCAGTAAAGATGAATAATAACATGAGTATGCCGAGAACATTGATGGGGTTGCCAGCATATTCGTCACTTGAAATTGATCTGGAGGGACTTCAACACAAACAGAGAGCTTGTTAGAAAAAGAGTGGAATTGTTAGACTGGAATGGTTTATATGCAGGTAACTATGCAGTGGCTGTGGATGGGTTTGCCATTATTGTGGATGCGGGAAAATTTTCGTACCGACCTGTTAAGTGGCGTCACTGGAGTGGTTCAGAAGAAGATGAGGTAATTAGTTCTCTTAAAGTAAAGACTCAATGCAAAAAGAAGTCCAACATGGCTTAAGCCACTGAATTATGAAACACTATGCACTCAAGATAAAAATAGGAGTAATAATTATTTGAAACACAAAATTCTCCTGCTTAGATAGGGACACAAGTTAGTGGATAGAGTATAATAATCGCAGTTTTTTACTTATTTTGGCAATAAAGGTAGCCATGCGTCAAGGGTTTAACAACCCCCAAGATAACGTTGTGTACATTTAGACCCCCAAGATCCCAACAGAGTTTGGATAACGTAATGGGTTTGTTTTTGTTTCTGTCAGCCAAGTTTATGTTTTAGTTCAGGTTCATCTTATTGTCTATTGCCAACACTACAGAAGTATTGTTAAAAGTGGCAACATATTACATTAAAAATGCGTCACATTAGTTTAATATAGTTAATTTTACATCACTCTTTCTCTAACAGCTTGTCCTTTATCTGCAGTCTGATAATGAATCATCATCAACATCATCATCGTCCAACAATGACAACCCTCGGTTTGTGATTCTTTCATTTAGGTGCCATCATCATTGTGAAGAAAGTAAACTGTATTCATCAGAATTAACAGAAGTGTACTCAATCTTCATCGGTCGTAAAAGAAAGGGGGCATTGAAAATTTTGGGCACGGTTGAGTTGTCTTCCGAATATCATACTACTCAGCACTATGTATTCAAGAGTACTGGTAATGATGGGGTGGAAGTAGAAGATTCACAGAAAGTTTTACCAGTGATGGATGTGTATATGAGTTCTGTGTATATGACTTCTTACGCGTCTAGCATGCTGGATTTGAAGGCCAATCTAGAAGATGTTGGTGGGAAATATCAAAATAGAGGTTTTGCTAGTTATGATAGTAATCGCTCACATTTTTTAATTTATTATGACACCCAAATGTGTTCTGTTTTTTTGGGCAAAGATGGGTTTTGTGCATTGCACTACTCCATCTTCCCAGAAGCGTGCCATGCGAAGATTGAGATCTTTTTCAATATTAAGAGTGATCATTTCGGGGTTGGCAAGATCTATGGAAGTGCAATCGCGCAATACAGCCACTTTGACTACTCAACTAAGTTCAAGAGAGATTATTTTCGGAGCGTGCTCTTCAAAAGGGCACAGACGGATTCGGTGCAATTAGAGAATGGTGGGAAAGTGCCACTATCTCGAAGTGTTGTTGCGGTGCCAATGGGCGCGTCCCTCATTATTGAATTACATTTTTGTAACATGTTTCTGAAAGATCGTCTATCATGGATAGAAAAGTTTCAGATCGGTCGTTGTTGCTTTAACACCGAAACAACTGATTATGAACTTGGCATCAAGTTGACTTGGAGTCATAGATAGCAACTTTGGATATAAATTTTTGGTAACTTTTAGATTGGTCATTGGACCAAAAATCTAAAAAGTCCTTGGCTACTTGTTTCGTATGACTTTTGATATAATTTTTTTAAAAATGTACTCCATACATTTTATTTTATTTAACTCCACCCCATTATCAAATAAATTATATTGAAAACAACTATGTTCACTTATCGGTATCTAATTTTATTTATTATACTTTTTTGTATCTTCTGTTGTTTCACTTATTCTTTTATTTGTATGAATATATGTCCCAAATATATTTCGATTGAGTACTTCCAACCCCATCATTCACAATTTGTCTGTCTATATTTTGACTAAGAAAGTAAGAAGCATTTTTTTTACAAGGAGATTACACTAGTCTTGGAAAAATGCAAGAAAAAAAAATCTTGATTCATGGTACAACACAACGTATGGGGTTGTTGCAAGATAAGGAATCTCTTTAAATAGATTTTATTACACACTAAATAAATAATAGTAAAACATATACTTTGTCTCAAAATCAAGTTGTATGTTTATTATGAGATCAAATTTTATTTTGTATTCTTCTAGATTTGCAATTAAATTGATAAAATAATATAGTCATATAAATCTTGTATCATACTCCCTCTGTTTTATTTTAAATTATTTGTTTCGATTTACGATGTTTGAATAAAGTTATTTTTAAATTATTTTATATAAAAAAGGTGTAGAATTAAAAATTAAGAATTACTTATTTAAAAACTATGTCAAAACAAAACTCGTGGTAACACGACTATATTATTTTGTCAAATAACTAACGATAATAGAAAAATAAGTTGAATGAAATTTGACCATATGAATCACAGCTAGACAATTCAAATTGGACTAAGGGAGTATAATTTTTTATGTAGTTTTTGAGTATGTAAATTTTTTAATTCCAACCCAATTATCAAATAAATTATACTCCTATTAAAAACAACTATAGTTGCACATCGTAAATAAAAAATACAATTTAAATTGTGATGAACGTATTGGAAACATATATATTCACACGTCGTAAATTAAAACAGACAATTTAAATGGACTTAATTTTTTTTTTAAATAAAAAGCAACGAATTGGGTTTGTTGCAAGATAAAAAATTTCTTTTAAATGGATTTCAGTTACAAATTGATTGTTACAAATTTTATCAGTATATGAGAGTGGCACTTCTAGAAAATAATTACTCCCTCCGTCCCACTGTCTTTGTCCACTTACCTTTTGACACACCATCCAATGCACTTCTTTAATCCATTTTATCTTGTAATTTGTATATTAAAAAATTATAAAAATTATACTACCTCCGTCCCACTCTTTTTGTCCAGTTTTGACTTTTGGAACTGTTCATCTAAGTACTTTGACTCATCAAATTCTCTCAATGTGTAAGTCTAAAAATAGTCATGTGTAATCTTGTTTGATTTGTCTTAACATATAGATTATTAATATATAATTTTTATAATTTTTTAATATATAAATTACAAGATAAAATTGATTAAAGAAGTGCATTGGATGGTGTGCAAAAATGAAAGTGGACAAAAAGAGTGGGACGGAGGGAGTATATTAATAATCTATATGTTAAGACGAATCAAACAAGATCACATATGACTATTTTTAGGCTTACACATTGAGAGAATTTGATGAGTCAAAGTGCTTAGATGAATAGTTCCAAAAGTCAAAACTGGACAAAGACAATGGGACGGAAGTAGTATAAGATGGAGAGGGGAGCGATTATAAACAAGACAAGAGAAAAATACTTTTATTTTATTTATTGATTTCTACTCTGTAAGCTACTCCTTTCATCTCAGAATTTTATCCAGTTTTGATATTTCTTTACACCTCTTTTCTTTTGACAACAAAAAATAATATTTTCTCCGTCCCTGAGTATTTGTTCACTTTTGACTTTTTTTAGTCAAAATTGGTAAACTTTGACTTTAAATTAAATAAAAATGATATTAGATATTGATATTTTATTATATTTATCATATCAAATATTTTCAATATTTTATTTTATCTAATTAATAAACATATATTTTATTTAATTATAGATCAAAAATTGAAAACAGTTGTTTAAAAAATCAAAATTGGACAAATACTCAGGAACGTGGGTAGAATAATATATGACAACAATTCAAATCGAAGTATCTAGGGCTACCTAGAGTGATCTGATCGTAAAATTAATAGTTCTTTTGACTCTGCTCTTTGTGAAGCTTGGTCTGTCTCTACTACTTTGACTATGAAGCAATTTGTTTTGATGACAAAAATAATCTTGGGAAAATGTAAAGAGTCTTGATTCATTGTGCAACATATTGGGTTTGCGGTTGATGATTTATTTCATCATTCTTTAATTTTAATTAATTTGTGCAAAAAGAAGTCCAACATGTGTTTGGACCAAAAATAATAAAACACTACACTGAAGATAAATAATGTGTAATAGAAAAAAAATTAATGGAAATTGTACATGAATTTTCCCAACTTCGAGATAGTCCAGCAAGGAATAAAATTTCAGATCTTATTACAAGTCATGGGACATGGAATTGGGAGAAGAATCAATCTTATCCCAGCTCTTCCGTTGCGAGGAAACGGTGTTCTGATTGAGGGCCAAGGATTAAATTCGAGTTTGGTTTTTTTTAATTTTTAAATTTAAAAATTTGGTCTGCCCTCACTGTGTTTGGATCGACCCAACGGGTTAGGACTTTAGTTTTTTAAATTTTTAAATTTACATTAACACATACATTTTCTATTAAATAAATTTAAAATATAAAAAAATGTATCAAATCTATAAAATTATTTATTTTAAACTCTAAAGTAATTTTTAGATATATAAATCAATATAAGAAATTTAAAAATATGTAAGTTTGGAAAAAAAAGTAATATACTGAAAATATAAATTTACAAACTAAAAATGAGTAGTAAAGTGTATAATTTTTTAAAAAAATCTTACTTTAGCGGGTTCAGATTCGGTCGGGTTTGACCCAATTTTAGCGGGTCATTTTGGGTTCGATCAACTTCAGGTTCGGTCATTAAAATCTTTGTTCAAAACCCAGTGTTTTCTGATCAGATTTCGGGTCAAAAGCAGGTCAATTTATTTTTTGCCAGGTCATGGATGCACTTATTTGTATAAAAGGGCAAAAAATAAAGGGCAAATTCAATCAAACGATCGAACATACTCCCTCCGTCCCACTGTCTTTGTCCACTTACCTTTTGGCACACCATCCTCCTTTTGGCACACCATCCAATGCTCTTCTTTAATCCATTTTATCTTGTATTAAAAAATTATACAAATTATATATTAATAATCTATATGTTTAGACGAATCAATCAAGATCACACATGACTATTTTTAGGCTTACACATTGAGAAAATTTGATGAGTCAAAATGCTTAGATGAACAGTTCCAAAAATCAAAAGTGGACAAAGACAATGGGACGGAGGTAGTATTATAGAGGAGTACAAACTCATGAATACATAATGCAAATATCTAGTTGTCGCATAACATCCTAATTTATGAAGTAATAAATTTAAAATACAACAACAACAATAACCCAGTTGGTTCCCACAATAGTAGGGTCTGGGGAGGGTGTGGACCTTACCCCTACTCGAAAGTGGGGAGGCTGTTTCCAAGAAACCCCCCGGCTCAAAAAATAAATTTAAAACACATTGTAAAAAAACATAAGTTACAAAGTCACCAAATACTTGATATCCAAACAAATGCAAATGTCAACCCAAAGTTTAGGAAGGAGGATAGGGTGCATCAGCAAGGATTGGCCCAATAAACATAGCTGCATGGTAACACCTGTGTAAATGTAAATTATTAGTACACCAAGCAACCATCAATTTAACCAAAAAATGATTTGGGGGGGGGGGGGGGG